AACCCGAAGCGCCGTGGAAATTCAGAGGCAGTAACAGTAGCAAGCCCAAGTGGGCAGATTGATTTCAGCCGTCTTTTAGCCAGGAACTCGCGAGAGGTAGCAATTGCCTCGCTAGAAAAACTACGAAGCCGAACGGAGTCCGTTACATGTCGTGTGATACAAAAAACGACCAAATTTTGGGCGTGGAAAAAGTCCTGAGGCTCAGCCTGTGTTGGGCGTGTGTTCTCCCGTGAATGTGAGGGTGTGATTTGGGCTTGTGATTGCCCACGTAAGTGAAGTTCGTTAAAGAAACTTGTCAAGTCCTGTGTGGGCTTGTGAGTTCGCTCGAGGGAGGATCAATTAGTTGGCCATAAGTAGGGCTGGCCGTTTTGCCCGAGAGAAGCCTGGACTTGGCTTGTGATTTTCCTTGGATTCGGGCCCGAGCAACGACGGCCATCAGCGAGGAACAGTTGTAAGGTACTCGGTGTAAGGTGTAAGTTGTAAGTGTGTTCGCGATAGGCAAGAGTAAGTATGAGTCGAATGCGAGGCTGTCGGCCGAGCCATAATCGGCGCGACGAATGTGGGCAAGATAAGGCCCAGAGTCGGGCACAGAACGCCCGACGAAGTAAGCCCTAAATTAGTTTTAACATATTAAGTATTGAGTTTATCGAAAGTCGCGCCTATTGTTTTCCGAGCCCTGAAAGACCCAAGACGGAATGACGGCCTCACCTGCAGCGGGCCCAACTCGGCGAGAGGTTCGAACCTCTTTGCGAGACACGTCAAGGCCTGGCGGGTCCCGAATAAAAAGTATTTCAACGGCAACGCGCTATCAAATATGGATCATTCATCTGGAACAACGCATCGACTCACCCGCGGTAAGTTTCTTAAAATTACGGGTGCGGACGGTATCTTCTGTTTCTGCGTGACTTTTTGTGTAAATTCCGTCATAAGCACATAGAATTAAACGCCTTTTATTTACTGCGAAATTGAACTTGAGCTCATAATTATCACGTTTGAAATCTAGCATAGACATTTTTTAAATGCTTAAATAAAGACTTTTTATATCAACATGTTGGTGTTACTTTGAAAGAAGTCGATAGATTAGGGCAAATTGCCGCAGTTTTATTCAATATTTTTATCAATAAGCAGCAGCGGAAGCAACGTTATAACGATCATTAGCGGTGAAACATCATCGAAGACTAAATGAAATGACCAATGTGGGTGTGGCCCTGTCAAAGCCGCAAGAATCGTCATGGCGCAGCTATGCGTTTAGTTCACAAATATTAAGAATCAAGCGCGGAACCCATATTCGAAGCACCTCAAACATAACTTGTAAGTACAACCGATTTCGTACAGAAAATTTGGTTAAGAACGCAGTAGATTACAAGCGTCACCTCTGTGAGATTTTGTAAGCACATACATGTATAAGCGGAAGACGTTTGACCTACAGAAGCGTTCAATAAACAACATTCGCATCCACAGGCTTCTCAAAATTTTCCGAAACATGTCCCAAAAACTGTTAACAAAAATGAAGAGTTCAAAGATCATCTTTAATTTTTACAAGCTACTAAAACAGCGCACTCCGCTCGCTCTAACCTCAGCTTTGTTTACCTAACTCCCTCATGCTTCCTATGTGGAATTAATCAAAACCCTCAACTTACAGTCAATACTCAATATACAACAAACCGATACATTCCGCAGCTCCACTCTCTCAATTTATCAGAACGCTTATAAACTGTCGACATTTTTAGCAGATGCTTTTTCTAAAAGGGAAATAAGTATTGCGATTTTTTAAGATTACTCTAAAGTTTTGAGCTAATGAATCTAATTATTAGACTCGAACATAAAACACTTATGCCTAAAGGTGTGGAAAGTGCATAATATGATTGATATTCCGTGTTATTAAGGGGACACACCTGTGTTTATGAATAAAAAACATGAAAATTAAGGATTACTATTACAATTTTGTGTTTCCGATGTAAGAATATGTTTTTACAGGTCCTTTTACAACAAAAAATATGTCTCTTGTTCCTCTTATTATTGAAAATCATCTATCAAACAAGTATATTGACTTGTGATTTCTAAGTCATTGACCGCATGATTTTGAAAGCAATTTTTCACCAATCCTGATTCTTGGGGTCTCAAAAGTTTTTTAATATATTTCTTTTCCACTTAAGGGTAACAAAATTTAAACAAAAGGCTTGGACAATTTTTTTCATACTAAAGTACAAAAAGAAATAAAGTAAAAAATCTGCTACACTTAAGTGGAAAAGAATTTTATGACAAAACTTTTGAGACCCCAACGATCAGGATTGGTGAAAAATTGCATTCAAAATCATGCGGTCAAAGACTTGAAAATCACAAGACAATATATATGAATCCTGGATGATTTTTAATAATAAGAGGAACTAGAGGCATATATTTTGTTGTAAAAGGACCTATAAAAACATATGTTTACATAAGAAACAAAAAATTTTAGTAGTAATCCTTAATTTTCATGTTTTTCATTTATAGGCATAAACACAGGCGTGTCCCCTTAAGCAAGACTTATTATTGTATTGCATATACAGCTCGCGTTCTTGATTCTTTTGATTCTTGGTATACTCCCGTGGAGCCTTGATGAAACCTACTATGAAAATACGAATGTTCAAAGTTTGCCGAAATAGATTTCGTGCTGATTGAATCGACATATTTTGCAAAAATTGTCTTGTTTATTGAGTTCACTGTTATAACAAATTGTTTCGGTCAGTCTTGCTTAAAAATATGTAAAAATGTTTATTTTTCTATCGCATTTTTCTATCGTACATATTTAATGTTAATATTCATTAAATCGCTTTTAAATGTAAGACTTTTTATAAATAAAGTGCGTTTAAAATTTACTCGGAGGTTGAGCATAACTGAAAGTCGTATCAATTGAGTTGCAAAGTTGCCGCGTGCAAGCGAATCAATTATCGCTTCGACGATAAGATAAGCGAGCAGCTTCACGTAAATAATGCGCTCTCTTGTCAGTCATTGAGAGTTTAAAAATTGTCGTTTTGAATATTCACATTCGCTGCTAGTTGGATAGAAACGTGAAAATTGTCGAAAATCGTAAAAGCAATCGCGTAGAATCGTGAAGCGAATGGCGACTTAGTTACAGAAGAATGATAAAAAAACATCGGATCGCATTAACGTTGCCATTAACACGTTCGAGCTGACTGTCGAGTTGGTATGCGATATCGTAATTACAGTAAGATCCTATGGTCGTAGATAGAGTCGGAGTCGGAGCTCGGAAAGCCGCTAATACTTTATGCCGCATACAATGAATAGCGTCGTCGTCGTCGCGATCGGCTGGGGTAGTTATTATATATGGAGTTTGCAGTAATAGCCGCTCGATGGCGAGGAATCTCTTTGGTGCACGATTATCATAGCAAACAGGTTTTTTTAAAGATCGCGTATCTGTCTAAATGCAATCATAATCGCAGTTTATATGTATATATCCTCCAGTCCCTCTCTCTTTCGTCCGTTTGTCTCACGAGCTCGCGATAGACGCGCTAAACGAGTTTCTTGGCCGCTTACATATACATAAGCTATAACGCGGATGATTTCATCGACGATGGGCAAACCTGCCTCTCATAACGCCGCTGCGTAATGCACACGAGTCTCAGAGCGCAGCGGGCCCGAGACACAAGCCGCAGGCCTCGAGCGGATTAAAATTTCAGCGCGGTATCGTGTTTTATTGGGACTAGGTCTGGACATCTCGGGCGATCTTGGCCCGGGTCACGGGAGACTTTTGCCTATGCTTACGGCGTCCAGTCGCAATCGAATCGAGGCGCTATTTTCCGGCTGCATCTACGATACGAACTTGGCGCTCTCGACCATGCGGGTGTACGGAGCGATGACGTCTATAAACTGCGCTGCGAGAAGTACGCGAGCAGAAATTAGAATCGTTCGTTTGATTGTCCTTTTTTCCGAACACGAGGCCAAACGCAGGCAAGTTTTGACGGCTCCTTGTCGCCGCGTTTCCATCGAGACGAGCGCGATATTCGCTCTCATTCCTCATAAATAAGCAGCTGCTCGTTCGCAAGCCACTCGGTTAGCTTCGGGAAAAGTCGAGACGCTTCTTGATGGCTCAAGGCGCGATCGTCACGGAGCCTGGAAAATCCGAAAAGGCGAAATTTTCGAGCAGATCGGACGAAGAGAGTTTGAAAGGAGGATCGCGCGAAAGTGCCTCAACACTTATTCGTCCGCGAGACAGCCGAGACGCAGGCCGAGAAGTTTCGGGCAAAGTCGAGCACGATCGCAAGAACGAGGCGTACGGCTATTAGGATCGGTTAGGACTCCCTCGGCATCCGCAGCCATGATGCTAGCTCGGCTCTTGGGCTCCCTCGCTGCATCGTCTATTATGCTGCATAGGTGCGTATGGCCGCACGAGACAGCTCACAAAGAAAAAGGTCGTGTGCGCCCGCTCATGGCCTGCCTCGTTTCGATTCTCTTTTCGACTCGCACTCGAAGTAGGGGGAAAAAGGTCCGTCCGCGGTGGTCCACACTCACACTCGGGCACGCAGGCAGGCACACCTTCGCACACGTACGGAATTACGAATCGAGGATAAAGCCAGAAATGGCATGCATCGACGAAAAACGAGCTCTCGGAGCGAGAAGGCCGAATAACGAGTCGAAAATCGGAGCGACGCCGTCGAGTATCCACCCACTCTCGGCTGGTGGGGGCAGGAAGATGGGCGGCTGGAGCCGTGGGATAGGCTCGGCGCGCGGCGCTCAGGCCAATGCTCGGCGCTGTGCTTGGACTCGACCAATCGAGGCTCGCTCGGAGCTGCCGTTCTTCGAGTGCGACAAGGACGAGACGAGCTGAAAAAGAGACAGCTGCAGTGCTGCTTTGCTCTCTCTCTTTCTCTGTCTCGCTTACGCGCCTCGCGACAGCGGCTTCTCGCAAAGAAAACAGCAAACTGCGCCGCTCGCTGCCGCGGAGCAGAGTCGAGCAGAGACGTTATAGAAACGCCGAAGCTAACCCGCCGCGCCACAGCTGCTATCGCACAGAGCCCAGCGCTGCATAACATATCTCGAGTCAGTCAGCACTTTTTTCGAGCGCTATACGTGCGCAATAACGTCGGCTTTCGGAGCAGATCGTTGCTCTCGAGCTGCAGTATTGTCAGTGTGACTGGTGCAACGGTGTGTTGTGTCAGTGTGACTCGCGCGTGTGTGTGTCTGCGCGCATCGCGATACTTGCTCTGTGTTTGTATGCGTTTGTGCGTGTTGTTTATGTGTGTGTGTGTGTGTGTTCGTGACTGGTGGCAGGCAGCGCCGTGAAAAGTGTCAAGACAGCGTTGCCAAGTGTCCGCTCGCCAACTGCGAATCCAACTGTGTGAGTGTAAACACGGACGCAGGCAGTGCACGTAATTAGGCACAGGCTCTGTCGGAGCGATTCTGCCTGCTTCGTAGACAACGTCAACGACGAGAGCAACATCGACGTTGCGAGTTGGTTCGTGCGCGAGTCAACGGTGTAGCAGACCACAGCTATTCTCAGCAGCAGTTTACAAGCTCGCGCGAGTGTGTGTGTGTGTGCACGCGCGCCGTGTAGCTGTGCTGTATTCGTTGCGATATAGTCGAGGACTCTGGCAGCCGAGTAGATCCGGCAACGTCGCGCCTCGATTCGCCTATAAATCTCGCGCATCCATCGTCCGTCGTGTTTGTTCACACGGACGAGGCACACACACAAACAGGCCTCTCCACAGCAGCAGTTCTCGCACAGTCAGTCGCACAGTCTCTCTCGGTGTAGGAACTTTGGCCGGAGTTGCTGGCAGCGCCGCCGAGAGGTCGCCAGCGTCGACGCGCTCACTCACACAGACGGACGATTCGGAGCAGCTAGCATATAGCTCCAGAGCCGTATAGAGAGATACAGCGGTCGGTCGTAACAATCCCACTCCTCGAGGTCCCGAGCGATTCGTCCCCACCGCCGCGGACTCGGCTGGCCGTGCATACGGAGCGCGCGCTGCACACACGGACGAGTCCAAGCGAGGGGAGCCGCGGCTCGAGGGGCGCCCCCCCCTGCCTCCTGCCCGCCCCTGGCCCGCGCGCTCTCGAGCAGCTAGCCGGCAGCCGAGTGCGAAAGAGACGGCGCGACGAGTCTTGGCCCTGTGGTGGGGTGGCAGCTAGCGGAGAGTGCGCTACAACAGCCGCTCCGCTCGTGCGCGCGCCTTCTCAGTCGGCCTCGAACCGGAGAACCACGAGCGTCTCCTCTGCGTCACCGGGCCTCGCGATTTTACCTCGCGCGCGTCAGCACTGCGCTCCTGCAGTGACCAAAAAATATATATACGCTGGTCGTCGGCTGATCGGCCGCTCTCGCCTCGTCCCGACCTCTTCCTCGACCGTTTCGAGCCCCGCTCGTCCAGTGTCAAAGTCGGTGGAAATCGTTGTTTGCGCGAATCGTCGTTCAACCCATTGGCAGTGTCAGCAGCAGCAGCAGCAGTAGCAGCAGTAGCGCGCCTGACGGCCATGTTTGGTGTTTACGAGTAGCAGCCGCCACAAGGCAAGGGGGCTCTCTCGCTCTCTTTCTCTCTCACTCGTATCTCTGTGGCAGCTCGACAGCAGCAGCAGCAACTCCAAGTGAGCGTGTGTACACACATACACAGGCAGTGACAGTGTATGCGATAATATTCGCAAGTGCTACGTGTAGTTTTGCCAAGTGTTAGTGTGTGTCTGTGTAAGTGTGAGTGCGAGTGAGCGTGCGTGTCCTTTATGTGCATGTGCTCGCTCGTTACACATACGCTTCTCAGTCTGTGCGCGTGTCTGTGTGGCCGCGCGTTTCTCCGTAGTAACACTACTTATTATGACTGCTGAGAAGGTCGTAACGAGAAACGCCAAACGACTGTTACCATAATAACGAAAGCAGTTTCGCCTCGACTCTGAGCGAGACAGATTTCTCAATTGTAAAAGTGTGCCACTGTCTATGAATTTGTGCAGCTGTGCCCAGTGAAAACGCGTGCTCCGATCGGTCGTCGAGCGAGAGCCTCGACTCCGAAAAGTGATCCAGTGCCAAGTTGAAAAAGCCCAATGGGTCATCGTGATCTGCAGCAGACAACATCATTGTGCAGTCGTGCATCCGATAGTGTGCGTCTGTGTGTGTTTGTGTATGCGTGTGTGCGCGCGCCCCTGTGTGCGTTTGCAGCCGGTATCACGAGAGTGTATTAGCATCAGTCAGTAAACGCTACTAACGCGTCTAAAAACGTTGGCTTAGTTGCAACGCGCGCAAGTTTGCGCGCTCCGAAGCCTCCTGCGTTTGTCGCCTTGTCGTCTGTGTGAAGGCGCGATTCGCGTGTGCGTGTGCTATTGCACCGCTTGCTCGACCAACTCCAAGTGTGCGTCTGTGTTTTCGAGCATCTGCAGTAGGCCCAAAAGTGCGCTCAGGTATTCGCTACTGAGCGCCAGTGCGTGACAGTGTGCCCGCTGTGTACGAGTCCTCGGCACTCTGACCGATATCGTTAACAGTCTTGTGTTTGTGTCCAAGTGTGTGTGATTCAGCTCACGACGTACAAGTTGTTGTTGTTGTGCTGCACCCTTATCACTACGATCCTCAGTGCGTCAGTGCACGAGTGCTATTGTCAACGTCACCGTCGTCGTCGTTGATGTTGTTGTTGTTGTGTAGTTGTTGTTGTTTCCCCCTGTCAAATATATATCTCCTTGACCGGCGAGGTGTTCCTTTAATCAAGGCACTTCGTCAATAACAAAGGGGATATATAATCAGAAACCAGCCGCAACGACGATTTCGTTAAGCAAACCGCAGCAGCACCGGCGTGCGAGTGGAAGTAGCAGCGGAAGCAGTGGAAGTAGTAGTAGCAGCAGCAGCAGCAGTGCCAGTAGCAGCAGCAACGGTAGCAGTGGCAGCGGAGTCGGAGAAAAACCCATTTACTACGATTTGTACGCCGAATACGATTTGGGCCATCGCTCCTCCGAAAGGATCAAGGTCAAGCGCGCCTGTGAGGAGTCCGTCCAGTTGCTCCAGCAATTGAACAACAATAATAACAATACAACTGCTACTGCATCGCCCTCACCGTCGTCGTCATCTACCTCGAGCAATAACAATAATAACAACAACAATAATACCTCGATCAATCAAATAAAGAGGCGTATCATTGCCAAATTATTCTCAGCCAGTAAGGCCAATAACAATAACGACACCAACGATTCCATCGACTCAACTGGTATCATGGATCTCGGAGATAGAGTCTACGCAGCTGAGAGAATCACGAAAAAACGCGAAAAGAGGGTAGGCATATACATTCCAATAAGTTAAATTTTTATATGCAACAAACTTTTTGAACGTGAGAATGAATGTTATTACGAGCAGCTGATTAAATATTCATATTCAGATACATTTTCGACAATTCTAGCGGTACACGTGACGAAAGAACGGCTGGCAAGCTAGTTCGACGACTCCCACGCAATATGCTCATTATGAGACGTTATTATGATCTTGACTCAGTACTACCGCCTTTGATCGCATGTGTGAAATCATAATATTTACATCGCGACTGGGCCGCCTGTTCGTTTGATGCGCGCACGCGTTCGATCCTTCCTACCTCATAATGTACATGTGTGCGTGTGTGCTCGCCTCGTCCGTCCGTGTATGTGTGTGTTTAGCTGGGAGAAAGCAACACCCATACATGCATCGCTTATGATGACACGCTGTAATTATAACTCGACGCTTGTAAATCAAGCATTTCCTTCCGAGACAGCGATACTTCGAATAAAAGGCCCATCAATTGAAATTCAATAGTCTTTTTATGGACTCGGACTTTCGGCTTTAATCATGCGTGTAAATCACTTTAATGTTTCGTCGATTTATGTTTTCGTTATTTGCAATTCGCATCAGGTCAAAATAAATAATAATCTGCCTATTAAGTAATTAGTTGAAATCGGTAAACTCATAACACTTACGACGACAATCCATAATATAATGTTTTATTATCTGTAGTGTCGTTTGTAGAGCTTAAGGTGGCTCGTCAGTAATCATATCAATAGAACAGCGAGGCGTATGTCTGTCTCTTTCTCGCATTAGGCAGACAACCGCTCGCATTGTTCAAAATCAATGATTTTACGCACATTTTGTTTGATTACTCATTAGTTAGTTCGATAAGGGGTAATTTTTAACATACCAATCGAAGGGTAGTGACTTGAAGCATAACATACTCGTTTTTGGTTAAGATCTATTGTTTAATAAAAAAGTTATGGCGTAAAATGTATGAAATTATGATGGCCTCCCATAAGAGCCCGTGTTAAATTTGCTATTTTCAACGGCTTCGTTCTCAAAAATTAGTTCGATAACCCATGCTCAAATTTCTACAGCATATCAAGGGTACTTTGAATGACATTTCTGCAAAGTTTCATAAATATCTGTTGTTGACTCGTTTTACTGATGAGCTACCTTAAATACTCGAAAAAATATAACAATCCAAATCATACTTTGTGTGCACTATGTTTTCTTTATTCAAATTTTCAGTAAATTCATGTTCTTCTTAAATTGGCAGGTAAAGTACATTTCTTTGTAATATGAATTCATAAGTCGCTTTCAATTCGTAATTTTACAATGGAGATCACAAAAAATAGCGTAAAACGAGAAAAAAGTACCTAGACTTTAATTATGCACTATCCGGACGTTATAGCTCAAATGATTCTCTGTGAATCTTTATTGTCATTCAAATCTGAATGTAATAGATGCATAAATTTTAATTTCATCAACATTGGAACATATAATATAGTAAATATATGTAAGCACTTCGAATGTTCAAAAAATGACGTAACATATTTAAATCTTACGTGAGATTGATATGTCGAAATTACAATAATAGAAATTGATTTACATTTGGTCGAGAATCTTTAAAACGCAGTTACTACCCAGTAATGCCATTGAAATTAAATGTTTCATTATATTGGTACTCTTGCTGGGTAGTATATTATTTATAAAGCTGAAAATCGATTTATGAAAATGATTAACATGATGATTTTGATAATCGATAATTTTTAATTGAAAAACGTTTTTAAAAACGTGAAAAGTTCAAGCTGAAGAGCTTTTACTAGAAATTAATAATTGTAGTAATTAAAAAATATGTTACACGCATTGCGTATAAATTGAAATGGCACGCAGGAATATTGGTGCATGGATGAACAATTCAAGCACCAGAAAAAGGGTGCTGCATAACATGTTAATAAAAATCATAATGTTACGATAGAAAGTAGACAATTTCAGTGACTAGTTTTTGCCTGTGATTGAGTGAGGCATATCAAATTTTGAGAAAGAAAAGCCACGTGATGACGATTAACAACTTTGGTACGTCGTACTATGATGACGTAATAAGATTTAATATAATAGCATGATGTAATATGAAAAAAACCTAAATCTTACAGCCACTCGTAATATATGAGTGAAATTTCACTATGATTCATGAAAAAAACCTTAAATATATCTCGTAAGCTCGTGTTGAACATTCGGAAAACAAATGAGTATTGTAAATGTGTAATAGTTGAAAAAAGAGATGTGTAACGAAAGGAGTAGTTGCTGAACGAAACAATTGGTAGACGTAGGAGTCGCGTCCTTGACCGCATCGATAAATTCAAAGAGAGATAGGATAGAGAAGCGCATTTGAGTATTAGGCTGTCATACACGCGCCTGTCTGCCTCGTGAACCATTTGGAGGAGGCCATTCGAGCGACAGCTGTACATGAACGCATGCCTTGCCTTTCGCGCCTTTTCGAACAATAGCCGCACGAATTAAAGCCAATGAAAAGCCAAAGAGCTGCCACGCGTATGCTCTTCCATCGAGCGTATATTCTATCTATAGTAAAAACGTGCTTACTTGGGTTACTCGCAAGACTCGATGTACCACGCGCACGCGTATGCATATGTGTGTAAGTCGAGCACTTACACGTTGTAACACACAAGTACACACACTACCAGGCGTTCAGTTGTGCACTAGCGAGAAAACGTAAATATAGCGTAATAGGGCTCGGGCCTGCGTTAATTGTATGCGGCAATAATAAAAGCAGTAAACAGGCTAGCATTGGCTGAGCCCCTATACATAAACTCGTCTATGTTTACATTTTGGAATGAAAGGTCCAAGGAGTTGGACGAGGCAGAAGCGGCAAGCCTAAGTGAATTAGTCGTTGCGAGATGGCACCAGTCTTCAGAAGGTGCTTTACGCGCGATCGTCATGATCGCGTTAGAGCACACCGCCCCTGGGGCGCACTAACACTCGCGCAGCCGACCAGTCACGGATTAACGCACACCTTGAAAGGCGCCGCCCCCGCCTCGGCCGCCCCTCTCTCTTACATGGAGCGGCTGGCGCTGACTGTCTGTCTGTCCCTCCTCCCCCTCTGCCTGGCGCGCTCCCTCTCTGCGCTCGGCCGTATGCCCCTCCTCTCTCTCTCCTTCCGACCGCCCGCCGAACTACTACCACTATCGTAGCACGTAAATGTCGGCGCCAGCCAGAGAGAAAGAGAGAGACGGAGCACTGCAGACAGCGCCGCGATCTTTGTCTGTTGCACATTCGTACGAGCAGTAGCTATACACCGCCAGTACTACTACACCCATGGCATTTGTGCACACACGTACAGTACATACACTCGTATGTATTGTATGCAGCCGCTTTGGTATGGGTGTACCTACCCGTGCACGCTCGCGACTCTCTGTGTATGCAGAGCTATATGCACTCGCGTATACACATGCGCGTTTAGGTCTATCGCGCGAACGAGCCGAACGACTGCCAGAAGCAGTGGTGTAATGTAATGCTCTGTTCGGCTCTCTCTCTTACTCTGTGCATGCTGTACGTGTGTCATGTGTATGTATGCGTATCTATCTATATAGAAGACCCCAACGGACGCAGTACTGTTATATACGCGCGCACACTTACAGCAACGTACTGCTCGAGCTCTGTTGCTCTTGCGTTGCTACTTTCCTGCAATGCCTTTCTTTTCACTCGAGCGCCTTTTATAAACCCATGTTGATGTTTTTTTTCTCTCCTTTACCTTCTCAACGTCTTTCAGTCTCTCTTTCTCTTACACTGTAGATTAGACACGAAACTGGCTTCGCATCGACGCATTTTTTACTCGCTACCGAGATCGTTTTTTTGTCCTTCGTCACCTTCGTAATATTATCATATTCCTCACAGGCATATAAGTCGAGACTTCACCAAGTTTTTTTTCTTCGCAAAAATTACGAGTTCGCGCTGAAAATTTACATGTGAAATCCTCCTCGTCTGCCTTTGCACGTCCATGTATTATACGCAAAGTAAGTCGCGCCAGTTTATTCTTATATGAATATACGTGTGTTTAGCCCATCGTCATTCTTGGCTCTGCTCTCAGTACTTGGGTACATTATGTAGGTATATGTAGCTATGCGAGCATCAACGATGAGTAGTACCATGCAGACCGCAACACACGCAGACGCACGAAGGGGATAGAAAACAGAGAGAACGAAAAAAGTGCATACCTTTATGTATTTCTCGATGTATTCTCGTCGGTAGTGCATCAGTCCGCAATTCTCTTTGCCGGCTTGCGGTGATGGCTAATAGTGAGTAAAACTGCTTTCAACGTTCGTAAGACTCGCATCGATCATATTGATATTCAATTGTTTCACCAATTGTCTTGTACTCATAATACCTTCTCCTTTTTTCGAGTGCCCCGGTTAATGAATCATTAAATAAAAATTACGTGAAATAATAGGAAAAATTTAAACTCTGAACCCTTGTGATTAAACGTAGCTGCGAAAATCGAACCGATTCATGTGTTGTTCCTGCTTCAGTGGACTGTGTGCTCTATTGAATTGTCACTTTTTTCGAATATATTGTCGATCTGATCGTGCGACACTCTGATATTTTCGCTCGGTCGCGTTTGACGCCAAGAGAACTATCGTCTAGCTTGTTCCAGCCCATATCCGTTGGATAATAAATGAAATACGAATTCGATCTGTCCGAGCGTGTCGGGCTCTTCCCCTTCTAAAGAAAGATAGAGAAAGAGGACGACGAGGTATACACGCCGCAGCCTATATAGTACTCGTTTGTGTGCATGAGAAAGAGAGAAGCAGAGAAAAAGAGAGAGAGAGAGAGAGAGAGAGAGAGAGAAAGAACCTGCTCACGCTGCCGCTGCTGGCGTGCCGCTCGAGAATTCGAAACAAAAACGCCAGGCAAACGAACGAGGCAGCCAAGAGCGACGATGAGAAAAACAAGAAGGACGAGTATTAAATGAAAGGAAGAAGTACGATGACGATCGGTGTAAACGCGCGACTCTACGTCTACCTAGGGTACAAGCATCTCGGTCTCACCTCCTATTTGGCCGCCGCCTTTACCGCTCGAGTTTGAGATTCCTCCACTGAGAAATTATGCCTTTATTATCTCCCCGAACTTTAAAAATGCCTATGCTCAAAGACTATAACGAAAACTGCTTCTGCTGCTTATTTTACTATTCAAAACTCTGAATTATGCTCAATTTGCTAAATATAACCGACCAACTTTTGCCTTCCTTTTTTTTTCCCTAATACTTACTCAAATGCTTACAATATATATGTATGTACTCGGTTTTGAATAATTCCAATCACGTTAATGATTCACGTTAATCGTTCTAAAGCAATTTTGTGATCTAACTGATAGACACTGTATCACTGATAAGCGCCCAACATTTCGACACGTCCAGTCACGTTGATTAGCCCAATGTTATACGTGCACGAGTTCCTGCAATTTCGCACTTTGTGCAATTCATTTCATAATTTGTCAACAATAAATCATGAAGCATGGACTTGAGATATCTTCCGCTGCGTTGACCGATCATATTACTCTCATTCATTGAATACTTAATTGTCATTGATAGATAAAAATCTCGATACCAGCGTTCAAATAAGATAAGTTCGATCGAATTTCAATAGCCGGCTCAAGCTTTATCTTATTCTTATCCACTGAATTTTCATGTGGCGATTGTAGTTTGCGATGAGGATGTCCTTTAAAGCACATTAAGTTTTGAAAACTCGATAAAGCTCCCTATATATGTAGCAGTTTTTCACGGTACATGTATGTGGATGTAGAAGAAGCGGCAAAAGTACGCCAAAGATTGATACAAGCGATAGTACCTTTACGGCGATGAGAGAGAAAAAAACTCCAAAGTAGCACCATAAAGTGCAACGCTCGACCTACTTTTCCCACTATTTCGCCGCTACATAGACACGTTCGTATATGTATTCACATGTATATTCGCTTACAAACAGGCCATAGGCATCGCAGAAGCTTTTCTTCATCGCTATACATGTTATATAGCACGTGTGCGAGTGTGTGTGTGTGTGTGTGTGTGTGTGTGTGTGTGTGTGTGTGTGTGTGTGTGTGTGTGTGAGAATATATACATGTATAACTATGCAGCGTTTGAACTCGCTGTAGCACTGCTTATAATAATATACCGTAGACGTTTTACGGCATGCAGGACTCCGAGGTACTCATATTTAAGAGCTCTTCTAATTGGACCCAAGCCATCAAGCGTGGACATACATAACACAAACTGCAAAACCTTTGTCTAAAGAGCCTAGACTTAATCCCTAGAGAAGAAAAATATTCTCAATATTTGCATAATTCTATACTCACACGGAGACCTTCTCACCTTTGGGTCACGGATCTTTACCAACATTTTTGTGGGTCTCCAGGAATCTAATAATAAAGCTCCTTATGCTTAGTTTTATTGAATGGGGCTGAGGGCCCATTTTAAAAGGGGTTTTCTGTTTTATTTAAAAATGTTTGTTCTTTTCTCAAAAGATCCGTGACCCAAAGATGAGAAGGTCTCCTTGTCAGTATCTTTTTCTAAATTGTTTACTGCGACGATGCGGAAAACTCGAGTACGCTCGATAAAAGGCGAAAAAAACTATAACGCGTCAAATAACGCATACAAGCGAAATTATATATTGATCTCAATCCAGTTGAAAATTAAAAACCGCTCGAATTTTATCGTCCTTCCTGTTTGAATAACTTCATACAGTTCTAGGTGCGTGGCCGAATTTTTTGGCGGGTTAAAAATAAGTGCAGCGACCCGGCTCCGTTTAGAAAAAAGTACAGGATCGTCTTAGTTGGGCGTAACCCGCCATGCTTATCAGCAGACAATGAATAATCAGCCATAAACACCAATTAAAAAAGTTATAATTCGTAAAGTTGATTCAGAAGTACCAAGATGGGGGCCTCTCTATCACTCGTAACCATCGAATCCTCGGTACTTTTATAATATATACCGCTAGATATACGTTGACAAAAAAACATATGTGGGTCGCGACCGTAAATCGAATACAAAGTTCATATAATCACTCCATAAAAAAGCCGCCAAGGGGTTCTTTACGCTCCGATTAGCACGTGTACAACATCCTCATAAAACTAGGTATAATATAGCGGCGAAATATGATGACGAATTTAAAAATACAGATTCCTGTCCTTCTTTCTCTCTCGCAGAACATAATAATAGTAAAAGGCCACTACACGCATATTTACGACGGGCTCGAAATTATGATGAGAGTCAGATGATGCCGCTGATCATCGTGATTTGCTCTCTCGAGCGCTGGCGCCTCCAATTGGCTTTTTCTTTTCTTCCTTTTTTTTATTTTTATCTTTTTTTAGACCCCTTGCTTAGAATCGTATATTTTAAGACTTAAGCGCTTGCTTCTAATTTTTGTTTCCGAAACAATCCAATCGTCTCATTCGAACCTATGTATATCATGTTTTTGTACGAATGTGTGTACATTTTCATGTGTTATAGAATACAACTTTATGACAATATATATTTGTTTCAAATCGACAATATGTTTATTTTGTGATTTTTTTGTTTCAGGGCAAAATCGAATACTACGTCAAATGGAAAGGTTGGAGCAAAAAGTAAGTATGATTGTCTTTTTTGTTGTCGCGATTAGTCATGTAATCGTTAGCATTATTTTTATCGAAATTCAAGGCTTTTTGAGGTATTTTGACCAATTATTTACCATGACTAACGAGTACTGTTCTTTTAGATACAATACGTGGGAGCCAGAAGAAAATATTCTCGATGTCAGGTTAATCGAATTGTACGAAGCCAGCCAAAAAGGAGGAGACGTCACATCGAGAAGACCTAGGCGAAGGGATACACGATACAATGTAAGCTTTTTCCTATTTGTTTTTATATTGAGTTTTCTAGTTTTTTGTTTTAAATAATCATTCTTTTATAATTCAATATTATTCTATTAAAAAATCCTTTTTCATAATACCAATAAAAATCTTATAAAAATGTGTAACTAATAAAAATGTTTCATACTTATCACTACCAATGATTTGCTATGTCATTGTTCGAACTCATATAGGTTCTGATTAGATTTCTATTAAAATTCGGATTTCCTTCGAATTTCTTACAGTAAAAAAATATCACATGTTGATTCTGAGAAAATGTGCTCCAGTAAGCATAACTATCAAAACAAAAATAGCGATTGATAACTTTTCAGATTTTAACCAGTTGCATTTGAACGTATTAAAAAATGAATCACAGTTTAAAACCGAAATTATATAAATATTTATTGCCTTTAAATAGATAATCTAATGAAGAACAGTAAACAAGGCATAAATAAATTTTAATCTGTATAAATAAAATTAATATTAACTCAAATTAAAACCAAAGTAGGAGAAAATAATTTTTATTCCGGATTTTGGAATGAAAATTGTTTTCTACATCAACTGCTCATGAATAATTGGGAAGGCATTTATTAATGTTATTTTTTTTATAGGAACAAGTCCTTGCAAATCTCGTTGTGGCGGAGGAACCAGGTGGTGATGAACCCGTTGGAGAAGACAGTCAAGATGAATCAGCACCGGAACCAATTGTATCGAGCGGCTCGATTGTTTCCAACAATCATCTTGGCGTTGACGAGGACACCGTTGCATCTTCCCTCGATGGACACGAGTCACCAACTCCTCCGACCGAGCTGGGCTCTGCTTCGGCGTTTAGCGCAGCGGATTCGGACAGCTCCATCAGTAGCGTCGATATGCCTCTGATGCCTAGACGCGAACCTGCTGGCACTAAACGGAAGGCAGAAGTACTAAAAGAATCGGGAAAAATTGGCGTCACAATCACAACGAGCAGCCCTACCAGTGGCAGCGGTAGTCCTCCACCAAATAAAATTCCGCGACTACTCCCTCTCAAAAACAACTCGCCGACCTATCATGTAAGCTATCTTTATATCCAAAAACAATAGTTCTTTCCTTATGTAACTCTAACACCAATTCATACCTTCGATATTTCTTTATTGCAGAGTCACAAAATCAACGGTAGGCGACCATCTTCATCGAGTGTGAAATCAACACCCGACGAACCATCACCTGCTGTTCCAACGACACCTGCTCCAGCGATGCAAGATAAGAAACGCCCCGAAGCAGATTTACCTCGGGGGCCAGCGCCGTCGTTGCCTCGTTCGCCAATATCTCCACAGCACGACACAACTGTTGAACCTGCGACACAACCTAATACCAAAAAGAAACATCATCACCATCACCACCATCACCATCACCATCATCATGCGGACCACCACCAACACAAGAATAACAGTGAGAAAGAACAACGGGTTGAACAGACCCATCCACAAACGGTCGAAACCAATGGACACAAATCACCTAATCCCAGCGATACATACACCAATAATAACAGGTTACCAGCCTCACCATTGACTAATGGTCATCGTACACTCAGTGAGGAAGACACAGACGCAAAGAACAACAACAGCAAATCACCACAGAGCATCAAAGACGATTTGTCTCGAAATAGTGAACAACAATCGACTACTATCTATTTGCCATTACATAGTCCAGGAACTGATTATTGGCACGCGCGTAATCCTGTTGCAGATCAAGTCTTCATAACCGATGTGACGGTGAATTTAAAGACCGTAACTATCAGGGAGTGCAAGACTGAGAAAGGATTTTTTCGAGAACGAGATCCTAAAAGCGACGTTTATCAATAGGTCAACATTGTAAAACGCAGTCTATTGTTGGCTTAATTTAATGCTCAATGTAATATTTTTTGATGCTTGTACATAATGAAAAAATTATTTTCGCACCGATATGTCAGTGGATGCATGTCCGCAATTGATGGAGAACAATGATTTCAAGTGACCTAAACGTATTTTCAGTAAAGCCTTAGTTCGCTGCACGAAATCAACACTGTATGATATAGTAGAATTTCATTTTAATGCTAAATAGTATGGTTACACGTAATCATTGGGATAAAAAAACGATTATAAAGCGCTTGGTAGTTGTTAGATCAAAGCAAGTAATATGCCAATGAGTGGCATTCGTTATATCTGTAAAAGCAATTGATATAGTATACAGTTTTTATACTGATTGAATAAGATTAAAAATCGGCTTTAATTATATAATTAAAATCGTGTTCAGGTCACATTATATACCGTGAAACGTGGTAAAGCAGGCGTGGAAAATCGGAAAAACTTTTTTTTTCTAATATATGTTTGTAGATAATTTGAAGTACAATTTTTACTTAGTAGTTAAAATTGAAAAAATTTGATTTAAATTTATATGAAAGGCGATAGAAAATGAACTTCATTACTAATAACCGCTTTGCCTCGTTTTTTATTGTAAATACTAAATTTATTATGAATAAGTTTCAAACTTAATTGAAAAACATTTTTTTTTTGCATAAGTTCCTAAAGTAATGTTCCATTTAATATATCAGTGACAAGAATAAAACTAAAAACTCATCCACTGCTGTATAATGCAGTGATGCGTATTTCAAATATCAACTACTTTCGCTATTGTACATTTTTCTTCTATTGCAGACTTTCTGGAACAATGATTTTATTCGAAGATTAATGAAATGCATTTTTATTATATTGTGTACGATATTATTGTTAAGTATGTTACATAAAGTGAAAAGACGTTTATGCAGTGTCAAGCATATTCCGATTATTTGACTATTTTTATCGTTCTGGATAAATTATCCACATTGTTATTAATGAGACTTCAATGAAATAAGAGTAATGACCAAATTCTTTGTCTTACCAATAGTAAGATAACTATCATTAAACCTTAGTCATAATGATTTCTTCAACGTCTACCATTTGCTGCACACTTTTGTAACAAATAATTCCGTGATAAATAGTTGGTGAATATATCTCTTTTCAATCCAACAACATGATGTAACATCCGATTGCTTATTTAAAAGATCGTTTCCGATAATTTAAAAATTTAAACTTCTTAGTATTATAGATTTTAATGTATGTATAAGATGCCCCATGAGATAAATGAAAATACTTTTTTCCGCCAGAACACTCAATTTCTGTATTGGATTATCACTATTGAAAATATTGGTTCTGCGATAACGAATCGAATTATAATCAAAGAGTAAAAAGCTATATATTTACAGGGAAAAAGTATGATGATTAATTTGTTTATAGATATTTCATGATGGGGCAACTTGTATTCAACTAGAATTTATTCCTCTGAAAAATTATTTCAAATTCGTACATATAATGTAATAAATGTACATTGTCACAAGAAATCAGTAACGCATATGAATCAATTTAAAAATCCGTGAATTGTATAAAAATGAATTGTATATATAAAAAATCAATTTGAATTCAGTAACAAATGTGAGAGGTATGATGTGTTACGAATCTGTGTATTGTAGATGATATAATTACAATCTGTACATAGATAATTTATCTTTTACGTTTTAAATGTTTTGTCGATCAATTTTCACAGCAATTCACTGGAAAAATAATACGACTAATGAAATGAAGATGAATTGCAAAATGAAAGAAAAATGAATGATCTTACGTTTAAACTTTCGATATAGACTGTACGCGTTTCTTCGATATTGTTTTCTGTACTTAGACTATGAATCTATCTATACAGTAATTGCATAAAAAAGAGTAACAACCATACGTGAGACCCTGGTAGTACCAAATCCATCAGTAATTTTAGTTCTGTCTGGTACAGATTCCTTATATTTCAATAAAACCATTAATTACACTTGTTGACTTTTATTAAACTGTTCCTAAGCTATTAATCTTTATAGATATTATAGTACCAATCAAATTTTTATTTTTTTACAATCAATTTTGATATAATTTAAATTATTGATACTCTTTTTCACCAATTTTTGCATTTTCACGAGAATTTTTTAAAATTTACTCATTGATAAGAAATTTTACTGTTTTCATAAAAGGAATTGAATGGGAAAAAGTCGACGTAGAGGTGACCAAACATTTTAGAAAATTGATAATTATTACGGGAAAACGGAAGAGTGGAGTGAAAACTTTGCAATGACTCATTAATGATCAGCTCTTTGATAAAAGGCGTAACTTAAAAATCGAAAATTTAGAACAATAGTAGTCCACGCGTTCTACAATATAAATGAAAATTCTCACTAAATATATAACCAGTAATTAAAAATTACATAAATGCATATAATAATAATTTTTGACTGATTTTGCATGTATTCAACATTTTTATGCACATTCTGAACATTTTTCGTGCATATTTGAATGCATGTTTTAGCGTTTATTTTGCATATAATCCGGGCTCTACTGATTATTGTGAAGTCATGAAAAATTGCCAGTCTATCGATACGTGCCTCCGTACAGCCCACGAATCCCCTACGTAGTTATAACGGGTATATTAGCAAAATTTGTGCATAGTCCGCAACCTTGAAATACTCGAGTTGGAAAGACGATCATGCAATATAATGTATAAAGCCGTGCAGGGTCGGGAGTTGAGCTTCGCAACAATAGCCGCACACGCGCACATTATCGTGCGTAAAACATAGAGTGCGTCTGCACTTGACTACCAGCTGATAAAAGCCTATGTACTTTCGGTAAGCGTTACATTATTTAGGAGCGCAGAAAAGCTCGAACTGTTGTAGGACGTTCAAAAGCCTGAGAGCGAGTGACGTAAGTTGAATTGTCGGTGTTGACTGGCTGAGGCTAGCAGTTAGCGCGCATACAGCATACTGTAGAGCTGCTGCTAACAACTGAGCGCATCTACGCTGACTATAGCAGCTTTCGGAGTCTCGGCTCTCAGCTCGTTTTATCTTTCTCGCTCGAAGCGCATGTAGCACGTCTTCTCTCCCACTGCTTTTATATGTTGTAACTCTCGGATTCGTTTGTTTTGTACGCTATACAGCGCTTGAACTCCCTGTCTGATAGCTGCTGTCTTATAAACTCGTATAATAAGCATATATATACTGCGTCCACATATAAGTTGTTGTGAGTATATGCCTACTCACTTGTATTGCCCTCCGCGCAAAAAATTGTGCGAGAGAAGGCGAACAGGGGCCTGCTGCGACACTGGTCGTCTTTAATACATGCAGCAGTGCACATATATTCTTGTTTGCTATCGTCGTCGACTTTTTCACACGCTACACCAACTCTGCTGCACTCGGACTGCAGTGCAGACAGTATTTTTTTCAACATTGCATGCATTGCACGCAGCGGAGAGTTGCTCGGCAGAAGCTCTTTATATGCGTCGCAGCAGTGAATTATGTGGGTGAAGCCGGAAGAAGTTTTGCTAGCCAATGCATTTTGGTAACTTTTTTTTCCAATTCATTACCAAAAACTTTATGCTAATCGCCTAACTACCATCTTAACATGGATACATGAAAGTTTTTGTTGCACGTACAAACACCCGAGAGCTTTGTTTATGCGCATCAGCTGTTTTTTTTGTACATTTTTTATTTTGGATCGAGCGTTGAACTCGCCATCTTACTGCATAGCTGCACAGTCTACTTAAAAATCGTTTAATTTATAATAAACAATTTTATCAGTATAATAAAAATTGAACGAATTAGGCATTTTATTAAAAAATCAAGAAACAAATATTCTCATAACCATAAAAGCTAATTGTAAAATTTAGATAACATAAAATTTTTATAATTTATTATTATGAAATTTCAATTTTTTGGCTTAATAAATTATATTTTAATCTGCACATGTGATACATGCATTCAATACAATAATGAAGTTAATTTACAATAGTACTCCAATAGTATTTCAATCAAATATTTATATACTAAATAAGTAACCTTTTTGTAAAGGATAACTGAAGAATCAACAAAGTTTTTTGTACGCCAGCGTCGAAAGGGTCATGGAAAATCCAAAGGTATCTCATCCATTATTGTTGGAACCCTCGACAGTGTATTTGATACAAAACCTCCTCCTTTTAGAATATTACATCAAACTGCCAATTCAGAAGTTTTTTGGGGTACGTATTTGAAAAATTCACTTATTTTTCTACTTCCTTGCAACGATAGTTATTATATTGATTTTGTATAATAAATATATTATTATGCAGTTGTGGCATGTTCCTTGACACATTCTGAAATAATGAAGGATTGGGAATGGCTTCACAAAAATTTGGTAAACACATTGTTATCTTTTGATACAGAAGAAGAAGTCACAGATTTTGTATGCTGTAAAATACAGTCTATTATAGCAAACAATGCATCAGAATGTAAATTAACAGATGGTAATTCATATTTTTCAGTAGTTGTTTCAAGCATTGTTATAAAAAACTCATTAACTTTTATCCTTTTAAAGATGAAGATTCACAGTCTTTTAAAAGAGTTTCATATAAATTCCGTCAACTTTTTCATCTACCTCAAGATGATAAACTTGTAAATTATTATTCATGCAGGTGAATACATGATTTATTTTCCTCAATCGCTTATAATATTTTAATTATTTTTCATTTTAGTTATTGGAAAACTCGATTACCAAGGCAAGGCTGGCTATATTTATCTGTGAATCACATGTGCTTCTATTCTTATATTTTGTCTAAAGAAACAAAATTAATAATAAGATGGGCAGATATCATTGAATTAGATAAAACTAATTCACTTGTATTTCCTGACAGTATTCATGTAGTAACTCGTGATAGTAAAGAAGTCAGTGAAAATAATACACATAATATTAATTGCTAATTAATACTTAATTATTGATTGTATCTAATTATTATTTTTATTACTTATTTTTAGCACTATTTTTCAATGTTCCTTCACAAATCAGAAACATATTCACTAATGGAACAATTAACCAATTTTGCTATGAAACGGTGAGTTATGGAAATAATTAATATTCTCTGCTTTCATTATTTTATAAATGAATATTTTGTCGTACAGGTTAATTGATGAAAAAAGTGGTTTTAATGAAGATAGGGATCTTCTGAACAAATTGAGGTAATTTTTATGCAATAGATTCTGCATTATTCATACTCAATTCAAAGTATTTTCATTTTCATTATCTAGTAAAAATGTGCCTAAAAAGCCGTCGTTCTTGAAACGAGATCTAGATGCTCGTGCACAGTCTGAAGCTTATCGAATGCAATTCAGATTACCAGGTAGCGAAAAATTAGATGGTTGTGTGGACGCAACTCTATGGACACCATATGATAAGCGTCACAATTGGGGGAAAATTTATTTGTCGCACAATTATTTATGCTTTGAAAGCAGAGTGAGTTAATGAAAGATTAAGTAATATATTTTTTCTTGTTGACAAAAACATTTATAATTTATTCCAATGATTTAGGTTAAACATTTAGTAAACTTAGTAGTACCTCTGAGAGAAGTCAGACAAGTTGAAGCAGCTGAAAATCAAGCTTCAAATGCTTCATTAGAAAAATCTATTTTAATAACAACAGCCAGAGCATCATTCCTTTTTGCTCAGATACATGACAGGGACTTTGTGGTTCAAAAAATTTCGGAATTACTTGCCAAAACAAAAATTTCCATAGTGTAAGTTTAAATTACTTTATCTTTTGAATTATTTAACTTTAGAGCTTTCTTATGTAACATTTACAGCTCAGCAGATGGAATTTGTGATAGAAGTAACAAGACGAAATCCGTTGAGAGTTGGTCCCCTCAACCTCCACTCATGAAATTATTTAAGGCACCACTTAGTTCTGAAGCCACTGTTAAACAAGAAGCCAAAGAAAAACAATGGGAACTACATTTTTCCGAATATGGAAGAGGGATGACAATTTACAGAACAGTGGAAACTGCCAAACTTGTAATAGCTGGAATACCTCAAAATTTGAGAGGTGAAGTATGGCTTACGTTTTCCGGAGCCCAAAACGAAATGGCCATGAATCCAGGACTATATAAGTCGCTTGTTAATCAATCTCTTGGTAAAAGCTGTCAAGCAAATGATGAGATCGAACGTGATTTACACAGATCTTTACCAGAACATCCAGCATTCCAATCCGATACAGGAATTAATGCTTTACGAAGGGTTTTGTCAGCTTATGCCTACAGAAATCCTCAAATAGGTATTTTTTAAACTATTTGAATATTTTAATATTATATTCTGTTCAATACTAGTTTTATAAGTACTTTATTACTTAAATGTAGGGTATTGTCAGGCAATGAACATAGTTGCATCAGTGCTATTGATCTACTGTTCTGAAGAATCAGCTTTTTGGCAGCTTTGCAATGTTTGTGAATCTTTGTTACCTGACTACTATGATCGACGAGTAGTCGGTGCTTTAGTAGATCAAGGACTTCTTGAAGAACTAGCTGCCGAACACTTACCAGCTTTATACATAAAATTACAAGAGCTCGGACTTATTAGAGTCATTTCGCTATCCTGGTTTTTAACGATATTTTTAAGTGTTATGCCAACAAGTAGCGCAGTTAATATCATGGATTGCTTTTTTTATGACGGTGCCAAAGTAATTTTTCAAGTAGCATTGACTGTGCTCGAATGGAACCAAGAAAAGTTATTAAAATGCAATGATGACGGTGAAGCTATGCAATTACTTACTGATTATCTTGGTGGTGTTTACAACGACGAAGGTCCAGTATTGCCACGACCTGTTGACACGGTCCCTCCAAATAGAGTTGATAATTGTTTTAATAATTTCATTACACAATATGAGAATTAGAAAAATTAATATTTATTTTTTTTTAGAGTATCTCAATTCAAACGTTGATTTATGAATCATACTCCAGGTACGGTTCTCTAAAAGTGGATGAAATCGAACGATTACGATTAAAACATAGACTAAGAGTAGTTCAGAGTTTGGAGGAGGGCATTGAAAAAAACGTTATTCGGAGTATTGTTAACGAAAAATGGATGACCGCAGAAGAATTAAGGGTCAGTTAAAAGAAATTTTATACCGTATTTGAGTAATTGTTTATGATTTTTTCGGTTTTCAGGAGTTGGTAAACCTGGTCAGAGAAGAATTGATAACCCATCGCCGAACAGATGAAGAACGATATGACCCTACGCAACCACCATATGAAGTTTATAAAATCGATTACGATTTATTTAGAATTTTATTCGGAGTCTTATCGCCTTGGGGAAAGTGTTCACAAGCTGAGTCTTTATCAGCAAGACTCTTTCGTGTGAGTTTTTTATTATTTATCAGAATTGTTTTAAGTTAAATTAAAGTTGAATGTTTAATTATTGAAAACTTTAGTTAATGGATCGAAACCATGATAACCTTTTGAACTTTAAAGAAGTAGTTCAAGCGATTGCAATGACTGCAACTGTGGATTCGTCACAACGTTTAAAGTTATTGTACACTTTGCATTTACCACCCCTTCTTACTCCCGTAGATTTTGAATCACCTACGCAATCAGGTAAAATATGATGGTAACTGATACTTCAATCTTGCATTTTTAGCAAATGAAACAAAAAAACGACCGTTTCAGATGGGGCTGAAATAGCGACGGAAGCAACCGACTTTTTCGACAGTATTGAGAAAAGCATATCTACGTTGAATGTAGACGTGACTTTTTCAGATGAAGGACCAAGTGCTTTAACCCGATCGATTAGCATAAATAGTCATCGAATCGAAGAGTCTTGGGAACAACAAAGTATGGGCAGTTTGAGATCGATGATTGCGTCCAGGGATAGTCCACTTGATTTGAAAATCGTGCCAAAAATGTCACAGCTTCATTTCATAGCTTTATGGAAAACTTTATATGATATGTTTCCAAATCAACCAGATGACCCCGATACGTACAACTGTATCGCGGAAATCGGTAAGCTAAAAAATGGCTCTTAATTACATTTTTGAGATTTAAAAGATTTTCGAAACTTAACCATTTTATTCTAGGCACTTTATTACTTCAACTAGGAGATGTTGGCAAGAAATTTTATGTTGAAAGAGAAGAATCTGTAGACAGTTTAGCAAGTTCTGCTTCAGTCAAACAATCAGGTGTAATGGTGAGATTTTTTAGCTTATTTTAAATCAAACTTATTATGAACTTTTCAAATACTACTTTCCTTTTCATATTTTAGACACCTGATCGAAATGGAAATCCGTCGAGTTCATCAACAGCTGATCCAAATTGGTCAATTACAGTTGAACAATTTTTGGCTTCAGCTCTGAATGGGCAACCTATTGTTGATTTTTTTAGCAAACGAGCAAACATAATCGAATCAATAGCTTTTTTGAAAAAACGTAGATTTGATCGAGCTCATTCTATCTCTGATACTCAAGTTATAAATGTGTGATACTCTAAATGTAATCATGAAGATATTTTTTCAACGAAAATTTGACGAGAATTCAAAAAATATACACATAATCATGCGGATATGTACATTGTTATACAATGATATTTTTTGCGGGCAGAATATAGAAATGAAGATGCAATCAATTTTTTTGGAAATCTAGATTAAAGTACTTAGCTATACATTTGCAATTATGCGCATTAATGATTGCACTCGAAAGTGAGTCTAGAGATTATATCTCTGAAATTGCTTCCATTTTTAATGTTATTGGAGAGATTAAATCATAAGTATTTTTTTAAATCAAAACTTTGATAGATGAAAAAAGTAGTCTTTAAAGTATCAAATCTAATATGCAAGAAATTTAAAATTATTTAATTACTTGTTATGCAATAAATTTTACAATTATACAAATTTATAATGAAATTGACTAGTTTTTTAAGGTAATAGAAAATTGAAGTATAATTTTGATAAAGTTCTTGAACTACCAGAAATATTATGTTATATATATTTTCAAATTATTCCTTGTTATACAATTATTTCAGATTTTATTCACAATTACGAATTGTATTGTAGCCTTTAGTTATTTTTTCATATTTATAATTTTTGTCTATCACGAAAAATAATCTTTGATACTTTTTGAGCATAATATATAGATATTTATATATAAATATATATGTATATATACATTTTTTCGAAAAATGTTAGTTTTCATACACATTTTATTTAATTGTAAATTATTTTGCAAAAATTATACACAAATACTCCTGTTTTTATGTAAAAATTTTTTTGATCATTTTCAAATGTATCATAGTTGTAAATAGTATATTTCATACAAAGTACTAATATATTTCATTCAAACGCTTTATTAAATATCATTTTGTTATTTATGAAGAATATTAAATAAAATAATTTTAAATACTGAAAAATTATGCAATCTTTTATTTTTTTTGAAACTCTTTCAATTAGCAGAGTCTTCGAGTAATTATTAATTAATCAATTTTTACTAGGGCGAAGTTGATCGTTAACACAAACATTTTTTTTAATATTTATGGTACCTAATTAATTACCTAATGAAGATTCAGTGAAAAAATATATCAAAAACCATTGCTTTTACCCTTAGAAGTCAATCGGACACTTGAAGATTTTTACCTTCCCAGCGGCCAGATTAAAAAACTGGAAGCAGTGCGCAGACGTAGAATTCCTCGCATGGATGATGTTGTAACTCCCTAGATATAACAAATGCCAAAAGATGACAACGTAAAAAAGTTAAAGACAAGGCATCAGCTGCACTTTCTTTCAGACGTCAAGTTAAGCGCCAATAAAAGTATCTTAGACGTGATTCAAGATGATGACGTCCGAGCATGTGTATCTTTCTAAAACGTTCATGCGGCTGGTCACATAGTCGAGTAGATGAAACGCAAACGTTTGAAAATAAATTACCTTGACATTCAAATTTAATCTCCTCGTGATATGTACCGTTGATTTTTTCCGCGGCCTAAAAAACTATTGTGTGTTGCATAAGAACATGTTAGCTCATGATCATTAGTAAATGAGGATTCATCAAAAAAGTGAGTTAGTTGTGAATAAATTACTTGTAACCACCACTTTCGGAAAGCTTTGTATTTACAGTTCTCGAAATAGTTTGATTATTGTCTGGTTCGTTGCACAATATCGCGTGACTGAACATTTTTAATAAAAAATTATTGTATGTTCATTATCAATATCTGAAATTGGAATCTATCATATGACATATTTTTTAACTTTCAGAGAAATAATGGCAAGAGTAATTACCAAAAATTCAGCGAATATTATTTATATCAATGTTTTATTGAAACGACCGCTTTCTTTACATAAAATTTCATCATGTAAATATGCAAATAGTGTTCAATCAAATGATCCTGGAAGTCCTTTGGAAGTACTCAAACAAAAAGTCAATAAAGGTGAATTAATGCATGATGAGCACCAGTTAATAGTAATTGAAGATCTTCAGAAAGTTTATGAGCGTCTTAAAGGCTATACACCTGAAAAGCCAGGCCTAATCAGTAAATGGCTGAGAAATAATAATAAGAAGACAAAAGCTCCTAAAGGACTCTACCTCTATGGAGCAGTAGGTGGAGGTAAAACAATGTTGATGGACCTTTTCTATAATTGTTGTCAGGTATCCTTGACTTTCTGCCTTATGAGTATTGCAAGCAGGAAAAGTAGAAAGGATACACATGTTACATTATTCCTCATGCAATATCCTTATTTTCTTCCTAGCACTTGGTTATCATATCTTAAATTTAATTGCCAATTCTTTTGATAGATTCAGCACAAAAAAAGGGTTCACTTTCACTCGTTTATGCTGGATGTTCACAGTAAAATACACGAGGTTAAAAAAGGTATTGTTCGTGATCATAGCAGTACAAAACTTCAACCGTTCGACCCAATACCTCCAGTAGCATCCTCGATAACTGAAAATACATGGTTATTGTGCTTTGATGAATTTCAAGTAAATTAAAAAATAATTTCATTGTACAGATAGACAATACATGACATAAATTCTGATTTCAAACACTCATTTGAAGGTCACAGATGTTGCTGATGCTATGATTCTCAAAAGATTATTTACAGAACTGTTCAACAATGGTGTGGTAGTTGTAGCAACAAGTAATAGAAAACCAGACGATCTCTACAAAAGTGGATTACAAAGGGGAAATTTTTTACCATTTATTCAAATTCTTAAAGATCATTGCAATGTATCTTCTTTAGATTCTGGTATTGACTATCGTACAAAAGCTGCATCAGGAAAAGAAAAACATTATTTTATGTAAGTTTTATTAATACAGAAGTCTTGCTATAATTATTGAAAAAAATGATTCGATTTTGTAATTAATATAGTAAAGGAGAAGAAGCTGATAGAAACATTGAGAAAATTTTTAAATATCTATGTTCAATGGAAAATGATATCCCACGACCAAGAACATTGAACATTAAAGGTAGAAATGTAACATTTAAAAAAACTTGTGGACAAGTTATTGACTCAAACTTTGAAGAATTGTGTGATAGACCCCTGGGTGCTAGTGATTATATTGAAATATGTCAAGCTTTTCATACAGTTATAATACGTGATGTACCACAACTAAATATGAAATTGAAGAGTCAAGCTAGAAGATTTATTACTCTCATAGATACTTTATACGACAATAGGGTAAATTTTATATTATACAATACTATGAAATATATAATGAAGTTAAAATCTTAAAATAGTGACATTTTAAAATTTTAGGTTCGAACTGTTATATCAGCAAATGCTCCTTATAATAAACTTTTTGTCCCTGAAGGAGAAGAAGAATATACTGATGAAAAGCGAATGCTCATGGATGATTTGAAAATATCTCATGGCACTGTAAGATCATCAAAAACTATGAATTTTTAAAATTTTACAAATGCAATGACCAAGTTTAATTTTTCAGGATGACCATAAATCAAATATTTTTACTGGCGAGGAGGAGTTATTTGCATTTGATCGTACTGTATCAAGATTGGCTGAAATGCAGACTGCTGCATATTGGGATGAATGGGAAAAGCATAGATAACGGCCAGTAATTCTAGTCTTACTTTTATTTTATGAGCTTATGAATGAATCATAATGTCATTAAAAGTAATAATCAAAGAATTTTTTATTCAACTTACTTAAAACTTGATGTTTTTTGGTGACATTATTAAAAATATTTTTTGTGTACTTAAATCAACAAGATTTTTATCATAAATAGCGATATAAAGTTGTGTAAATATGTAAAAAAATGTTACAATAAAAAGATATAAGTAAGTAGATCTCATACTTTTCAATATCACTTGATATTATATTATCCACCATATTCTGCTTTTATACTTATTCATTTTTCTCTTGGATGTAGCTGCACAAGAGCCAAAGTCTATTTATAATTTAAAAAATATTTGTATCATACATTTCAAAATGAAGATTTTACTTTAAATTTAAAATTCCCGCTTATTGAAACATTCTTGTGAAATACTTTCTCATCATTCGTCAGTCATTATGATGATTATTATTTGGTGCAATCACCTGATTATTCATTTAGTACTTGATACTTAGTTGATATTTGCAAACATGTGTCCTATTCACAGTGAACTTATTGAGGAAATTTCCAAGCTTTCCAAAATGAAAGAGCTGGATTTGGATAACTTTATAAGTAATAAGTATTTTTCAATAAATTAAGCCAATTTATAATTTAAAAACTAATTATTTGTGCAGAGATGGTTAAACCTATGAACTGGATAGATGGTGGTCATTACGACTATATAAAAAAAATGAGAGAGCATGTGTCTCAACTATCGACAGAAAAACAAATTGAGTTGTGTTTAAAAGTACTAGAACATGTTGATTTAACTAGTTTGAAAGGAACAGAAAGTCATGAAGAAATAACAGAACTTTGTGAAAAGGTATGAATCTAATTTGTAAAATTCATGAGATTCTAATCAGTAATTTATGTTAAGGCTGCAAAAACTTATCAAAAAGGAATGAAAACTTGGAACACTGCTGCAGTTTGCGTAACTCCAAATAAAGCTCAAGATGCAATAAAAGCTTTAGATAGGTTGAATATGAGAGATTCAGTAAAAGTTGCTAGTGGTAATTTACAAGTCTAAAACACTTAAATGAAAATTTTGTATATAAAAGATTAATAACGATTTTTTCTTAAAAGTTGCAGGAGATTTTCCTGCAGCATTGCTACCATTAGAAGATAGACTAGCTGAAATTAGACTAGTTGTTGAATATGGGGTAGATGAAGTTGACATTGTTATAAATCGAAAGCTGGCTATAGACCACAAATGGACAGAGTTGTATGATGAATTGAAGCAAGTCAGACAAGCATGTGGAAATAAAAAAATGAAAACTATCCTTGCCGTTGGAGATTTGCCTGGTTATTTTGAAATTTATTTTGCATCAATAATAGCCATGTTAGCTGGGACTGATTTCATAAAAACATCTACTGGCAAAGAAGCTATTAATGCAGAATTAAAATTTGGACTTATAATGTGTCACGCTATTATTCATTATCATACTGCAACTGGTAGAAAGGTCAGAAACAATTGGATCATTTTTATACTTTAAATGTTTTTTTCACCCAATATAAGCAAAATAAGTTATGTAAAAAATAATTAATAGGTTGGCTTAAAACCTGCTGGAGGAATTTCCTCTCCGTTAGAAGCTGCCACTTGGTTGGAAATGACACGATTTAAACTAGGAACAGATTGGATGAAAACGGAAATGTTTAGGATTGGTGCTTCAAAATTAGTGGATAAAATTCTTGAATTTGTAGGCACTGATTTTAAATCAACTAAGGATTATTGAAAAATATTTTTTAATTTTACTCCCAAACACAGTTCAATTGGAAAATTGGACAAAAAGAAATGAAAAATTTTTCATGTAAAAATTTTTATAATTTAATAAAAAAATGTAATAATGAAATGAGTTATTAAATAATTTTATCTAATGGTATGCCATCTAAAAACAGTAGAGCTTCTGCATTACTTATGGCACTTTGAATATCATTTTTTTGGATTGTCTTTTTTTTTGCTTGATGAGTGTATTTATATGATTCCTTAGCCAAGGAGTCAATGAATAATTCAGTGGCCATTGTTATCAGAAATACAGCTTCTTGATTTATTAAGTTTATACTGGAATCACTTTTAATGATATTTTTAACTCTGCCAATAGGTAATTTTGTCAATTTAATTTTATGATCTTTATCATGTTCAATTTCTTCTTCTGTATTTTCAATTTCCAGCATGTTATCATGGAGGTTTGTATCATTTTCATTATTTATTTCCTCTGTATTTATTTCTTTCACTAGTGCCTCTGGTGTTTCAACCGATGAAGGGACATCTGTACTCTTTGATATTTCTACAATTGTTGTGTTTTCAATAACGTTTTTGTCTTGAGTCCGTGTGTCATCATCGGTAAAATCTATATTTAAGAAGCCTTCAGTATTTTCAGTATTTTCTAAATTACCAAACAAAACTTTGTCGATGTCTTCCATTTTAATTAATGCTATCTTCCAAGCAAACAATGATGAAAATTAACAAAATATATTTTATAACTCGTTCTAACTGTTAAGCCAAACAACTACTTTTGCAAAATACATATCAATTTGTAACCTTTACGATATCAAAACAAATTGAATGACTGCAACAATAATACGTAACTCGGCGCGCACATAATTGCAAGTCTTCTGTTACCATACAACTTTAGATTTTCACCTCACTTTGTATTGTTATGTCCAGTTTTATTGTTCAATATTCAATTAAAAACTTGTTATTAGCTTGTTTCTAAAAGTAATCAACTTTGTATTCTATTATTTCATATTTGCGAGTGAATCTTGCTGAAATTGAGACCGGCGTGGACACAGGACAGATCTAAGATTGTATTTGGAGTGGGGTGAAAACTGACTCGATTTGTTATGGAGTGCCGGTAGACAGGTTAAGTATTTTTCATCTCCTAATACATCATGGTAAGAAATTATAATGAATAATAATAAATAAAAGATCTTTTTGCATCGATGCTATTAACGCTATTTAATGTGACAAATTGTGAAATTATTAACACAAAAAGCTTTTAGTGCATTCTTGTGTGCGTATTTTGTGTTGCAATTGCCTAATTAATTGATATATGTGACGTTTAAACAGACACTTGCATTGTTTTCATTTTTCTTCAAAGCAGTATGGATTTAAATATAGACACTAACACAATAAGAAATTTATTGTAATATCTCCGTTTGTAAAAGCAATTATGACTTTTAGTTTATTATTTTCAAGTTTTAGTAAATTTCCTACAATTTTGCAAATACAGAATGCAAACATTGTCTAGATAAGCCTATACTTATATACCTAAGCTATATAAACAATTGTCAAATTACTCATGTAAATTTGTTTTATTCTAGGCTCGTGGGCCAAAGAAGCACTTGAAGCGTCTTAATGCTCCCAAAGCATGGACTTTGGATAAATTAGGGGGTGTCTATGCCCCTCGCCCGTCCACTGGTCCTCATAAACTCAGAGAGTGTTTACCTCTTGTAATCTTTTTAAGAAATCGTTTGAAGTATGCCCTTACCAATTGTGAGGTTACAAAGATAGTAATGCAGCGGTTAATAAAAGTTGATGGTAAAATTAGAACTGACTCCAACTATCCAGCTGGCTTCATGGGTGAATAAAATTTTTATTTTATCTTAAAAATACCAGAACTTTTCTATAAATATTATACATTTTTGCTTATATCCAACCACAATATTTTCTTTTGATAAATGTTGCTAGTCAAAACTAATTAAAAAGTTAAATTCTTATCTTGGCCTTTGATTAAATTTTTAGATAATTCTTCAGTCTTTTCTGGAAAATTTTTAATTGATTTTACTTTTTTCAGATGTCATCTCAATTGAAAAGACAAATGAGTTCTTCAGACTTATCTATGATATCAAGGGTCGATTTACTATCCATCGCATCACAGCTATTGAAGCCAAGGTATATTTTTAACTCAATATTCATGTGTTATTGAAATTTTAAAACACAGAAATTAATAATTTTTTTTGTGCAGTACAAGCTTTGCAAAGTAAAACGAGTACAGACAGGCCCAAAAGGGATTCCGTTTCTTGTTACACATGATGGTAGGACAATCCGTTATCCTGATCCAGTCATCAAAGTCAATGACACTATTCAATTGGAAATTGAAAGTGGAAAAATTTTGGATTTTATTAAGTTTGATAATGGTTAGTAAAATTATGCATATAATGTCAAGATTAGTTTGACAAAAATTAGTTATATTTACAATTTTATTTTAGGTAATCTTTGTATGATCACGGGCGGGAGAAATTTGGGCCGTGTTGGCACTGTTGTCAATTGTGAAAGACATCAGGGTTCATTTGATATTGTACATATTAAAGATGCTCAGGGACATGTATTTGCCACAAGGTACAGTGATTAATTTTACAACAAAATTTTCCAAATCAACATATTTTATTTTTTCAGATTAAATAATGTATTTATCATTGGTAAAGGAATCAAACCCTATGTCAGTTTGCCAAGAGGTAATGGCATCAAGTTATCAATCGCTGAAGAACGTGACAAGAGGCTAGCAGCTAAGGGTGTTTAATTTGTTACATAAAAATTTAATAAACCTAGTTTTTTCTTGGTACATACTTGTTTTAATTACAATTTTTGAATTGATCATTATGTACATCATAAATGATTACACATTATTTTTAAATGAACACTTTGCACTTAAGCCTATTTTATCTAACGAAATAATCACTTATGGGGAAGCCAAATTTCGGTTTCCAAATCAAGAACAGCGCGTAACATTTCATTACATTTTTCATCGCCCTCTGCACCATATTTTCGGTGTACATCTTTGGCAGTTTTCAAATATCTAAAATTATAAAATTAATGTCATTTTAATTTCTAATAAATTTGTTTTTTTTTAGCTTACTTTTGAATACACAGAATATAATTTTTCACTTCTTTTTCAACTATCTTGGGAAATTCGGAAAATCTTGAGTTGACGCTCGCCGATCCCGAAGTTTGTGATAAGATTGGACACACTCGAATCCATGAGCCCTCTTTTTTACTCGGGTTAGCCCAGTCGCGTCCATGCTCCCACATGCAAATCGGTGGTTCGTCTTTATTATTTTGAGGCTTCAAACTTCCACGTCGTGGCGGATTTTTTTCTTCAAAGAATTGATTATACCTCGATATTTCAGGGTAAGTATCTGAGTTCTGCTGTAAATAACTATCGTTCAATAAATTTGCTTTTATGATTATTAATTATTCAATCACTAATAATTAAATTTACCATAGTTCGGTTATCTTGACAGTAGTTAATTATTCTTATTGGATCTCGAGAAGTTTTATACTTTTTTTTCAAAAATTTATTTTGCTGATAAATTTTATCGCTCTCGGATTCATCGTCATCATCGCCGATGGTATTAGCTGCCCATATTGTGAAAAGCGATAAACCAGTGTTGCAAACTGGTAATCCTAACAAGTCAAATAAATCGTGCAGTAGCGGTTTTTTCACTTCGCAGTCAACTTCGCAATCGTTACCCAATGCTGGGCTCACGTTCACCTAAACGAGCGTAAAATTAATTTAATTTTTCAAATGAAATAGCTTTTTTCTGAATGAGATGATACCTCAAGAAGCCAAGGCTTCAAGTTTTCATCGATCAATATATCAAATCCGAAAAATTCGAAGCAATTCGGTGACTTTGGAATTCCAGTTGCTTGACTGAGAACAGTTAAGGTGACTATGCAGGCAATCTTTTGCCACAAAAACCAATCCAAGTAGCCTGATTGGCCGAGATAACGTCGGAGTCGCCGGAACGTCCATTTGCAGCCTGTATATAACATTGAGCTATAACCAGGTTTAAATGGAGAAAAACAGAAAGGAAAAAAATAAGATGAACATTTTACCGGCACCGACTCGCTCTTTTTTTTCATAATAACCTGGTCCCAGTTTATTGAGTGAAAAATTTGTGAGGTGCCGAAAAGGATCATCGATAGCTTCGAGGGAAAATTTTTCCGTCGCAAATCTTGCGATTCCATCTTTGTAAAGATAAATGGCCAATGGTCGATAAGATGGTACGCATACGTACAGTCTGAGATCGAATTTGTAGCCACCGATTAACAAGGGATTTTCGATGTACTTTTGCACCACGGCAAAACTATCGTAGGTCAAGTCGCTCAGTTTCTGTGAAAAAAATGCTGAACGTATTTAACGGACTCGCGGATAAGCCGAATCTGCGAGCAGAAGGAAAATGACTCACTCGAAATAAAAATATGCCTTTCCCTTGACTTTGTCCAACTGGTTTACAAATCCATATTCTTTCATCCCGTTCGAAGCGACTGCAGTTTGCGGCCAGCCTCGTGTACTCCGATGGGAGATTGAAAGCTAGAGGACTTGTTTTTTCTTATTGAAATGCAAAAATCAGCATTCCCGATAAAGTTTCGAAATTCGTATAAGGAGCATCGATACTTACCTGAAATCATAAATATTACCATGAACTTTTTTCATACATTTCAAAAGTCTTACGAGACTGTCTTTTCTGCAGATAGAATTTCCTTTGGGTATGCGATTAATGAACTGAAAAATAAATTATTCATCTCTACATGAATGACGTAATGTTTAGAAGTAAGTCAAAACAATACGGACCTGCCACGGTAACAAAGATTTGTAATGATTTTGTGGAAACCCACCAGATTTCCACCATAAATTCCAGCGATCTTTGAAGGAATTATTATCTCCAGAGTACTCTCGCCAACCTCGCTCCGTGCAAACCTATTTAAATGTAACGCTTTGTTTATCTAATACATATATCTTAATTCATTAAAGTGAGAGAACCTCTTTTCATTACCATGAGACTCGAATTATTAAACTTTTATGCTTTGAATTACCACATCAAAATCATTCACTTTACTCATTATCAATGTCACATGTGGTGATGTAAAGTTAACAATGTATAAGGGTCAAAATAATACTTTTTTACAAAACCGTGCGCACGTGTGTCACCGATCTTGACGCGCTTTTGGTATGTTATAATATGTACATGGTAAAAAGGTCCCAAAAACCAAATTTTAGACACCCTCCCCCCTCCTACCCCCCACTTCCGGTATAAACGTCTATTTTTGATCTATATTTTTTCTGAGGACATAAAGCAATTAAAAAATCGGAAAAAATTCATAAAAATACTTTTCAACAATCCAAACAACCTTGCATTTTTTCAGATTTTTTGAGTGCTTCAGATAAAATCATTAAAAAATCTGAAAAAATTGAAAGTTGTTTGGATTGTTGAAAAGTAATTTTATGAATTTTTTCCGATTTTTTAATTGCTTTATGTCCTCAGAAAAAATATAGATCGAAAATAGACGTTTATACCGGAAGTGGGGGGTAGGAGGGGGAAGGGGGTCTAAAATTTGGTTTTTGGGACCTTTTTACCATGTACACTGTCCGTGGACTAATTTTGTCCTTTTGACACGCATTCGGACGGTATGGGACTTGTATAAGCATACGACGTTCCGTAATGCAGTGGACAAAATTAGTCCACGGACAGTGTACTATTATAACATACCAAAAGCGCGTCAAGATCGGTGACACACATGCGCACGGTTTTGTAAAAAAGTATTATTTTAACTTATATAAATATAAAGTTTCATGTGATTGATTCATAAGGGCAGTTATGAGAGATAACGCACTCTTTTGAATTTTCAAAATTTTTATACTGAATTTCCATATGATGAATATCTATATTTATTAAAGCATATATTTACGAACGTTACGCGTAAAGTATATAACGTGGTTATAAGCTAATTTTGAATTAATGCGTTACTGCACGTTATTAAGTTGAGAAATTTCGATCACAATTAAAAGCTATTTCAACGAAGCACGAAATATAATACGTGTATATTAACTCTATTACTGCTCGTTCGCAACTTATACACACAATTACAGCATAGCTCGTTAATGCACTATATGCACAAGAAAGTTTCCGCATCGTTTCTTCACGAGCACAATTTAACCCTCTTTTAACTCGCATACGTACAATTCGCTTGCGAATGGAGCTTTAAAGTATATACATATTATAAATTTATGTGAAAAGCTTGCTCATGCACAGAAGATTGATGATAATAAGCTGTGGCAGCCGAGGGCGCGTTCCTACTGACTTTTGTTTACATCATTACAATTGATAAAATACCGTGATTTGTTGCTGTTTTGCATTATTATATATTTCAATTGTTTTTTAACAATATTTTTTGGTGTTTTCTGGTACTCAATAATGCAGCTCCTTATATTTTATCCCAAGGACCTTTGGAGTGATTAAAAAATGATTCTCTTTTCTACTAAAAATCAGTGCTATTTTTTATCTCGAAAACGCACGATTTCAGAGGAAAGTCAAAGGAAACAGTGAAGTCTTGAAATCAATTCTGAAAAATGTAGATTAAATATGTAAATATGTAAATTATTTTCTATTTTATTAAAAAATCTTTATGATTTTCTATCTCCAGAATTAAAAAATGCAAAGAACTAAAAGTTGCAGAGTTTATCAAAAAATGCGTTTAAATTTTTCTAGAATATTCGAGATTACTTATCATCTTTTTTTAAAAATTCAAATTTAATATTTTTTGAAGGACTCCAGTGACCTCTAAAAAAGGTGATAATCTATCCGAAAAATCTAAGGCCCATGAGATTAGACTAAGCACATAGGAAGCTTTATTATAAGGTACGAGCAAACACCAAAAAACCGCTACTTATTTATTTATAAAAATAGTCATAAAAAACTAATTTTTGCTGCTCTTTTTTTAAAATCACTACTTATATATTCCAAAAACCACTTAAACTGTGTTAACATTCATAATTTGTTTTTTGAAAAAAATTTTCATTTTTACGATGTAACTCCCATTAATAAGTTTTTTAAGATTAAATTTCGCATTTTTTTTATTTGTTGAGTATGGGCTTATAATTTTTGGTGCTTTTTTTAACATCACTTCTCATATATTTCAACCACTTACACCACTTGAACTTTGTAAAGATTTTTAAAAAATTCGAAAATGAAAATATAGAGCAGTTTTTTCATATATGTACAACTTTTGTGCGGGGGGTTCTCGGATCTGCCCCAAAATTTAGTATGTTATTTGGGTATGTGAAAATAGCCTTCAGGTAAATTTTTAGCCCTCTAGGGGCCTTAGGGCCCAAATTTGGGCCCCTCGAAGATCCAAAAATAGCCGTTTTTACCTATTTTTGCGTATTATTCAAATATTTGTAACTCGGGCACCGGTGCATATTTTTTAACTCTGAGGGTCGCATTTTTTAGGTCAAGACATGTACTTTTCGTAAAAAAATTATGTAGAGCTCGATAGACCAACCCCCGGTTATGGGGGGGCAATGAAGGGGGATGAAAAATCGCAAAATTGACGTTTTTTAGCTTTTTTTGAATTGATGCAGAAGGCGACTGGATTGACGTATTTACTTTTGCAACGTCTCATTTTAAAGGTATTTTTATTACCTTTAAATTGCCGTGCGCAGAATTAAGATTGGTTCAAAAACGACGGAGATAGAGCTGTTTAAAGGTGTCAACATTATGAAAAAAGGCGTTTTTTCGAGATTTCGATAAGCTGTAACTTTTTTCTAGTAACATGAATCTCTTTGAAATTTTATGTGAAAGTAGTTGATTACATGTAGTTTGAAGCCATGTAGGTAAGGATCTTGGTATTTGCCTCTATAACCGAAAACGAGGCCCCCGAAATCCGGCACTTTAGCCCTTATATAGGCAAAATACATGTTAAATTGGGCGGCAAAACTATTTGGTAACTCCTGAAATTATCGCAAAATAAACATAAAAAAAAAATCAAAAACCCCATATTAAACGTATTTTTCGACGAGGAATCCAATGGTAACCTCGAATTTGACCTTGAACATAACCTCTAAACTATAGCGAACCAAAATTGATTTTTCGCACGGTGACCCCCTTTTTTTATTTCAGATTTGAAAAGAGCGGAAAATTTCACGTTCAAATACATATTTCGTTTTTTTTTTCAAGGTAATTTTAAGGGCCCCACAGATCAAGAATAAACTCTTTGGCTGAGTTTAATATTAGTTTTAATGGAGCCTTCATTTTCAAACTGTGGGGCCCTTAAAATTACCTTGAAAAAAAAAACGAAATATGTATTTGAACGTGAAATTTTCCGCTCTTTTCAAATCTGAAATAAAAAAAGGGGGTCACCGTGCGAAAAATCAATTTTGGTTCGCTATAGTTTAGAGGTTATGTTCAAGGTCAAATTCGAGGTTACCATTGGATTCCTCGTCGAAAAATACGTTTAATATGGGGTTTTTGATTTTTTTTTTATGTTTATTTTGCGATAATTTCAGGAGTTACCAAATAGTTTTGCCGCCCAATTTAACATGTATTTTGCCTATATAAGGGCTAAAGTGCCGGATTTCGGGGGCCTCGTTTTCGGTTATAGAGGCAAATACCAAGATCCTTACCTACATGGCTTCAAACTACATGTAATCAACTACTTTCACATAAAATTTCAAAGAGATTCATGTTACTAGAAAAAAGTTACAGCTTATCGAAATCTCGAAAAAACGCCTTTTTTCATAATGTTGACACCTTTAAACAGCTCTATCTCCGTCGTTTTTGAACCAATCTTAATTCTGCGCACGGCAATTTAAAGGTAATAAAAATACCTTTAAAATGAGACGTTGCAAAAGTAAATACGTCAATCCAGTCGCCTTCTGCATCAATTCAAAAAAAGCTAAAAAACGTCAATTTTGCGATTTTTCATCCCCCTTCATTGCCCCCCCATAACCGGGGGTTGGTCTATCGAGCTCTACATAATTTTTTTACGAAAAGTACATGTCTTGACCTAAAAAATGCGACCCTCAGAGTTAAAAAATATGCACCGGTGCCCGAGTTACAAATATTTGAATAATACGCAAAAATAGGTAAAAACGGCTATTTTTGGACCTTCGAGGGGCCCAAATTTGGGCCCTAAGGCCCCTAGAGGGCTAAAAATTTACCTGAAGGCTATTTTCACATACCCAAATAACATACTAAATTTTGGGGCAGATCCGAGAACCCCCCGCACAAAAGTTGTACATATATGAAAAAACTGCTCATAACATTTTCATTTTTACGTTATAGCTATGTAATTAATCGATGAATCTTAATGTCTTTGGTCTTACATTTAAGTTTAACTTCTCATCTTTCGAAATGTGCTCAAAAATTTCAATGAATCAGTACATTCTTTCAAAAAATTAAAAATCTTAATAACTTACAAAATATTACACGAACCGAAATGAAACTTTTTCGGGCTTCATCCTCAATTCAATCGACAAAAAATCCAGTTTATCTCAATAGGATTCACCGTCCCATTATTGAGAAAACTCGTTTCACATACATACAAACATTAGTCACAAATTCGATCTAGTTTATGAATATATATTAGACTTATAATTGAGACACATTTGACAAAAGTCTATTTTAGACTCATCTCAAAGATTCCTCTGTGAGGAAGCAATCAGTTAGAATTTGTGACCCAGAGGTGGGGAGGTTTGCTTTTTATACATAAATTTGTTGTTTAATCATACCAATCAACTGTCCCACTACATGCAATATCGCTGTGCGTGATGTGCAAAATTGTAGAAAAAAAATTAATTAGTTGATTTAAAAAGTTTGACAAGTTGCTTGGCAATCCTTAATAAATATAAAAGATAGAAATTCACAAAGTTTCAAGAAAAAAAGAAGATTAAGAATTAAGGATTCGTGACTGTTTCAAAAAATGCATGATGTGATTTAGGGTTTGTAACAGAGTTTGACCTATTAACGAGTATAATAATGAATTATTATATCGTTATTTTATTTATATATTTTTCATCATTTTCATTATTAAACTTGATTACATTTATTGAAGAAAAAATTAAATTTTTTGATTGCATTTTTTTAAAACGGAATAGTAATTTTGCGCGATGAATTAATTTTTATTTTCATGCTTATGTAAGCAGAAGTTTTTATTTTTCATCGTTGACATATAAATTCTGTTTTTCTTTCTAAACTATTCCATGATTTATAATTATTTTAAAACATTAATTCATATTGTCGTTGGACAATGCAATGGAAGGAATTTTATGAAATTCTTAGCAATAAAAACTCAATCAAAGGAAAAGGGTGAAAATTGTACAAAGGCAAACTCACCTGAACAAGTAAGTTCGGACCAATGCCATTATCATTGAGCCTAAAAACGAAGGGACCATCATTGCCCTGTCGATCCGTAGTCATGCCGCTTCCTTAACTGCTCGATTCAGATTAGAGGCAAGAAAGCTGGCTTGCTACTTTCGACAGTGGTAGTAGTAGTAGGGGCAGCACTTTCAAGAACTCTAATCGATCACTGCGCGGAGTACCAGTTGTTTCCCTACTATGGGACCTCTGGCACAGCCGTGCCTTACCGCAAATTTGAAAGAAAATGAAACATTATACATCCTGGCCGTTAAGGCTGTACTAAAAACTATTCACTTCATAAAGTGACTTAATATCGACACGCGACAAGCCTCGAAACGCTCGAATATTTCGCATTGACTTTTATTTTTACCATTACCTGAGAATTATTAGGACAAAAAACTACTCAACACAAAAGGTCGGGATTTATTTTTATCATTGTTTATATTTATACGTAAATAACATATCGATGAAGCACGCGCATCGCGAGTTGTAAATTTGGTGTTCGATGTGCTTTCTCACACATCAGCGGCTGCCGGTAAAGCGCGCGTAAACTCATATAGCTCTGCGGACGATTTGTGGCTGGCTGTCAGGCGATGTTGTCGATTATATCTTTGAGCTTTTCACTCGCTCCACAGCGTTTGCCTCTCCCTTACGTGCTTTCGTACCAACTTTCAAAATATACCAATATATCTGTTGTTGTTTTATGATATACATAAAATCAACCTCTATGTACTAACAAAAATGTTTGATATAAAAAATTAAGCTTATAGATAGTTTATCTACAAAATTTTACATTATCAGAAAATTTCCTGATTGCTTTATAGGTCTCGGTCGAAAAAAAAAATTACAAAGCTTTTTTGTTTCGGTTATTCAACAGCAGAATTAGGCACACCTGCATAGCGATTTATCGTACGAGTAGTTGGCTATTAAAAAAGTAATTGCGGTTGTAAAGAAATTTAAGGCTTGTTTAGCTTTGCCTTTGCAGGGACAAAGTTTTTTCTAGGCAAAGCTTATCATTTTGCTTTAACGTGCACAAAAGCTATTATTTAACTTTATATTGAATTCAGGTATTATGCCGCCCAATATATATGCAAGTTGAATAAGTTATGTGTGTGCACGGTCCACGTCCCTCGTAAATTTACGGTTTTACGTTACAAAGAGCCCATTATTTAGCCTAATTTTTCAAGCACGAAAAAAACTCTCATAGTACATTAACGTGACGTAACAGAAATATTATTTGTATCATGAATTATTAAGTAATATTATGTTCGAGCACTAGAGCAAATGACAATATGCTTCTAATTGAGAGCAACGCTACAGAGATCTCGGCATCGGTATGATACTATTTATAAATATTTTGTAAAATAATTGTACGTAATATAAATTTTATAACAATCTATGGATTAATATTAATACATATTTCTTCATTGTTTTCAAGATGATTTAATTACGGTTACCATTGAATTATTGATGTAACACGATAGCAACATTATACTTCTTAATTTTTGAAATAGACATCAAGCAATGCTATAAACTGCTTGAAACTATAACTTGATCTATTTGAGCCGCAAAAATCTTTTTTAGATATCACTTTGGGCAAATCAATTATTTAAAAATTAAGACTCAACTTATAGACGACGATATTAACCTACATTGGTAATTGAAATGCAAGAAAGACAATTACTTACGAGTCCATTGGGTCACACCAACATTAGGGCAAAACGGCAAGAATTCTATGCAATATCGCGGCTTCATCGCGTACAAGTTTACAGTAGCAACACCTGCAGTCTGGGGCTTGGTAGCATGTATACAGCTAAGAAGGTCTACATCCGCGAGTCCTTTTCTATGCTGTTGGAGTTCGACACGCGACTACCCACTGCTACGCTAGCCGGCAGCTTTCAGGGCCTACATGAATCCTGGCCAAAGGCACGCGATTCTCATAAGTATGCGCGGCTTTGCTCGTCTGTCTGCAAGTGTGTATCGGTGCGCATAAACCGACGAGATCGGGCATTTTTTGTACTTCTTTTTTCTCGAAGCAGCGCGCACGTATAAATACAGTACAAAATATGTATCCCGAGCTTTCGCTTCGTTCATTCGCTATGTTTTTAATCCGTGCTCATGTGTGCCTCAGCCCGGGCTTTTTCGAACTAGAATGCAAGCTTTACGCGCCCTTGTACAAAAGTTGAGATTGATATGTAATTGCAGGTCCGTAAACATTTATTTAAAGTACAATTTGATGCTATTTGAAGCCGAGTTGAAGGGCTCTCTCCTTTTCGTCTCTAATCCCGTTGCTGAAGAAGTTGAATTGAGTTTGATTCGAATATACCCAAGTTTAGTGGTATCGAGGACGATGTATAAAAGTAATACAATATTTTATCCATATTTCTTTATCTCCATCTAAAACTTGTTCGACTGCAACAATATTTTTTCAATTAATTTTAGAACGTAACTCATATTTAATTTCAGACTTTTGTTAACTAAACAAATACACAACTAAACTTTATGACGCATAAAAGAACATTTTTCAAATTTTTAATGGAATATTTCATGTACTTTATACATATTTTAAATGAATAAAGTTTGGTATGACTTTCCACGCTAATTCCAAGTCAATACTGTAACGATGATTCGCATTACAAAAGTTCGCAAAACTATTCAATGCCTCAAAAACAATAAAACAAAAAGATGTTTATGCTTGTGTATGAATCATGAGTGTAGTAGTAATTAAATGCCCACGTCACTAATTATTTTCATCATTATTAACTGTATATAGCAACACGTAAAGTTGGTGATAGATTCCTGTACACATCCTCACATGTGCAGGCTCTTAATAGCTTTGCGTGGGCAAAACCGTAAATGTGTATATAATAATGACAAATCGATTCTACGTTCAACTGCTTTGTTCAACTACCTTTTTGCTTCAAATGCGCAGATATAATAATATTCCGTGTGTTATATGTGCCTCACATATTATACTGTGACGTGAGCGTGTCGTGTATAGATTTTCCTGATGTTTAATCTTTAATATCGCACACGCGGTCTTAAATGTACAGCGATACATTTAATAATTAATTTTTTGACATACGCGAAATAAGTCTACTGAATAAGCTGGCTTGTCATTTGACTTTTCGTTCAAAAAGAAAAGTGACAAATGATGACATTTTTCAAGAGATGAGGGTATACTTTTATCATGTGGGATCAAATCAACCAGATACACTTTTTTGTTATAATTAAATTTATTAATTAATACATAACACTGATGTGAGTGAATTTTATTCGTACTTAATTAAAGTATCTAAGTAAATTGAGAACAGAAATTGTTTTCATAAATATTAGTTTTTTTATGTGCTATTATAAGTATTGACCAAAAACATAACGGTAGTAAAGTTTATCATAAAAAATACGTTAATAATATATTGTTGTTAGGAATAAATTTTTGGTGAACATTTCATTAAAAATAGTTCTGTAACTTACAGACAAAAACGTACATAAAATACATATCTTTTTTGCATTCTACTACGAGTACTTATGATAAAGAGTAGTAGTGAAATTATCAAAAATAAAGTGTACGCAATAAAGTGTGTAACAATGTTAAAATATTGACGGTCACCAGTTAATTAATTACATTTTTGCAAATGTAATTTTTTCAAATTCCCCGATTTCACCAGATCATTCATTACCTTCGAACCATTTACACTTTAAAATTACTATGATTATAGTTTGAACATATTTTGTTGTTTGTTTGTGTTGTTTGAAAGTTCCCAATCTAAATGTTCACATGATTAATGTATTTGTAAATCATGATATACTAATACAAATTTATTAATAATATCTGTAGAAGTTATTTGAATTCAAATATTAATTTATCATCTTAAGCTCATCATTAAAAACACAAAGAATAGACTGACGATGAAGTTTGCTTGAATTATTAACTGAAATATTTTGGGTGAAAATTATCGTCCTTTTACACATAGCAAACAAAAATTCAGCACATTTCGTATCAGTAACTTAAATAGATCTCTATACGGTTTAAGCGACGAACGTAACAGTGTCTGAAATATAGCATCCTTACTTAATAGTAGAGATTAAAATAAAATTCTCTTGCTTATTACTCTAAACGCACTTTTACAATAACATGTATAATATATTTTTTAATTATTTTACTTGATGCGAGTAGTCGCTTTCTCACAGTCATCGCAATTTTAAAAAGTCAACACGCGCGCGCGCGTGTGTGTGTGTGTGGATATACGCAAGGATAATAACACTCAAGTTGACTGCAAAACGCGTGCAGAATCAATTGAGGCTTGCGTGCTTACACAAGCCCTTTTCTCAACTTTTGCTTGCGCGCGCGAGCGTGTCGTTCTTCGTCTCCTTTCGCTATATAGCACGTATACACAGTTTACCGCACCTACAGCAGTGGGTATTTGTAGTGCAGCACGAAACCAATGAAAAATATGACAAACTGGGTAAAAAGTTTGCTGGATATTCGTATGACGTATGCGGACTGCGGAAAAACGGCAAAAATAACTCATTAAATTGCAACTTATTTGTTACATATTACTTTTTGGTTTATTACTTTTTTTTACTCACTTACTTCTACGTAGTATGCGCATTTTTCAAGATTATCGCGAACAAGCATAACTATCCTATTAACGCTCTCCCAAATGAGCTCTCTATTACAGGGTCGTTTAAAGAGCGAAAGAACGTCGAATTTACAAAATTACATTATGGCAATTTTGCCAATCGGTTGTTTTCTACCTGCAGTACTTTCTATCGGTAGTTTTATACCACAAAATAATTATTTTTTATATATTACGTATAACAAGCTTAACATAATATAAAACATATAATTTCTTCTTTCTTGAAAACGTTAGGTAGGGGTGTTCCGTAGAGCGCAGATGAGTAAAATTATTTTAAAAATGAAATATTATAATATGTTTAGATTTCTAAGAACTCGCGATTTCGTTCCGAAGGTATGAAGTATTGTTTAGCGCGCATGATTTTTGCAGAATGGACGACCGCCTTTCGCATAAAAGCTCTGGCCTTCGAGGTTCTTTTTACACATCTGCAATTTCAACAAATAACAATCATTTACTTTAATTTAATGCAATTATTGGACAAATTTAAAGTTTAATAATTATATTACCGTGCAATTGAAACATTGGCTGTGATAATTATTGTTGAGAGCTTCCACCCAGCGATCACCAGCTTCTACTGGGAAACCGCAAGCGAAGCATTTTGTCGTAAAGAGCTCATTCCAGTCTGTAAAGTACAATTTTTTAGTTATTTTGAATTAGTCATCACAACTTATCTATTTTCAGCGTCTATTTAATTCAATCTAATTATTTTTTAATGAATTATTAATTACAATTTTTTACAACAAAAATAGTTTTGAATAATATTGTTATTAAAAACAAAGTGGCTTCATAAAGATTTTAATTATCTTATCAAAATTTTAGTTGTACATGAAGTTATGAACCTTTTTCACAATATGGAAGTCCTTCTTCAAGGAAGAATGGATTGCTGCCAAATTCCTTTTTACAGTGAGCGCAGCTAAAACATTGAGGATGAAAATGCTTACCAATGGCATTTAAACAGTCCTATAAAAATGACGTAATTACATACAGATGATACATTTACGAACTTCAATGATTATAATTATATAGATATCGGTATAAGAAATGTCATCAACACAGAAATGATATCTGATTTGATGCTCGAAAAGGTTTATTACGCACCCCTTTGATTTTGTTATTGCATTTGTTACATGACGGGGCTATGAATTTTTCGAAACAGTATTCACAATACAGTTGGCCTTTTTCTTCAACAAAGCCAATGTCCTGAAGACCACGACGGCATTGAGGATTTACACAAACAAAGTGTTCTGGACACCAAATTGAGCCCAATGCAGATATGAATGGTCCCCTGATTAAAACAATCGTGTTTAAGTCTCATGAAATTTGAAAATATTACAATGATATTATTAAAAAACAAAAAAAACGAAAAAAGAACGAAAGCAAAAACAGTAACATTATTTTTTTATGAAATAGTAGTTTTTTGAAAATAACAAACCTGTTTATTTCTTTATTACAGCTACAACACATAGGTTTTGATGTGAGGCCGTTCAAACGATTGTTAGTTTGTTCTCTGTTAGCTGCACAAAATCATGCGACAATCAGTAATTAATTTTCGAATATTAAACTAAGTAATTTGCAAACAAAATTCATTCATTTTAAAGTAAAAAAATAACATAGATGAAATATTACATGTTATAAAATATATATTTCATTGCGTAAATTAATTAGTATCATTTTGAAAAAGCCAAACTTAAGAGTTATAATAAAAAAGGTCACTGAAATAAAATCACTGCTGGTGTAAAACCATAAAAAAGACAGCATAAAGTCATCTGCAAAACCTGAAATAACAAACTCAGTTAGTACCTGACTTGATTATTGCAAGAAGCGCAAAGCGGAACCCGCATTCCTGATCCAGCCTGGTTGAGAATACCTCTGCCACGATTCGGGGCGGCACATGTTGTAATCTTGTTTCCACTGCCCAATGCGCATGAACCAGCACCTAGATCCGGATGGGATGAACAATTTGGTGGGTCTACTGAACTCTGGGTTTTATTTGACAGGCAATGGGAGGATGAAGATTGGGAACTGGAGGAGGTTATTTCACTGCGGAATCGTTTTTGAGTCGTCTGGCATTTAATTTGGGAGCTACTAGTTCGGCATGGAGGAGGAGGAGGCGTAACCGGCTTATAAAGCTGCACCGTTGGTATCGGTGGCGCTGGAGCCGGTTTCGTCTCGCGTTTGCAAAGCGTCAGTGTGGTTATTTGATTACAGAGATTAGTACGCGGTGGGGGTTGGATTGGTTGAAATCCGCAATCCCTTGAGTCAGAGGATGTTTTGAAAGTCGTTGTTGTTGTAGTTGTACTGGAGTTTGTGCATGAACAAACTTTGGGGCAACAGCGGGGACAAGATGGAGGTTCTTCAACGTCTAATTCTTCAGGCAAGGGGATATTGGGAAAAGGTAAACGAGCCTTGGCAGCGCCCAGACATTTTTGGGCTGGTTTTGGGCATTGAACTGAACGCATTCCAGGAATTCCTTGGCACTTGTTTGTAATGGTACGCGTAGTTTCTACATTAGGTAATTTTTGACAATTGCCTGATACTGAGCCACAGTAACAAGATGGTTTCTGGCAAACTCCTCCTGATTTGGCCGGACAAGGCGATACACTAACACCTGAACGATCTGGCGTTGGTTTGATGCAAACGCCTTCAGAACCAATGCCATCGCAAGGAACTACAACGACTCCTTGCTTGCAAGCAGTATCACCATGTGCCCTAACCGGCAAAACTTGAACTCCAGTCATAGGACATGGGGGCTTTGGTGGAGGGCACGTTGGTATTTCATGGCAAATTCTACGCACATCCGAACCACCAATTGGTGCAAATACTCTTACACCTGTTTTTTGAATTCTATCCATAACTTGATTTTTTTTGGCGTTGGGGCAAGGCAAAGTAACTTCGGTACAAGAATTTTCTGCGATGTAGCATTGACCGTCATCAGAAGGTTCAGGAGGTGATGATTCTTCTTCTTCTTCTTCTTCTTCTTCTTCTTCTTCATCTTCAGGCTCTACGTAATCTTTGACAAAGTGTTCAGTTTTTTTCGAATGATGAAAACCGTCGCATTCTTCCGTGACTATATCATCGTGCTCGTGAATGTGAGCGTGCTTCGATGCGCCTTGGCCAGCCCAAGAAATATTCTTAGATACCACAGTGTCTTTAGTTTTGTGGCCTTGAGGAGTGTCCTCTTCCCAGTGGTAACGAGTAGTTTCAGTTCTATCAGGCGTTGGTTCTCGCTTACAAGGTGGTTCTTCTCTTATCCTTGGCGCCTGAGCTCTGATGCATGCAGGTGGTTCTGGCGGACCAGCACCTAAAGTCTGGCAGCAGCCTGGAGTAGAGTTTCTGCTCAACGGATAGTCTTGGCCTTGAACTGGTTTTTGCTCTTCACAAACCAAGTGCTTCTGATAAGATGGTATGGTGTCAGGTTTCTTCAATCCGCAAGATGATACTCTACCACTGGGTGTTTGAGATCTTGAGCGACATTGAGAAGGGGATGCAGACCTATTGCGGAAGCGAAAATCTGGTGGAGGAGTTGGGAGAGGCCGAGGTCCATCAGGCTTTTTTGGCTGTTCTTTCGGCTTTCCACGATATAAAATTTGAGCTGGTGAAGAATAACCTTCGTACGTCGTCATCATTTCTGGTGTCTGTGAACGGCATCGGCACGAGCATTGAGATGGATCAACCTGGCGTCCCAGAGGCGAATACGGCGTATCAGGAGCTGTGGTTAAAGCAGCTACAAATGGCGAGATTGGTCGATTTTCCAATGGCGGTAGTTGGGGTTGACATCTGCAACAAACGGTCTTTTGCTCGTAGGTCACCTCGCGATGATAAACTTCGCGAGCTTCTCCCCTGGAGCATTGATTAGAAACTCCGCTTTGAAGTGGAGAAAATTGACGATCGGGAGCTGTTGTCAGAGCCTTACACATTTCAGATTTATACTCTTTCGGCGAGGAATTTTTGACCGAAGGCGAGGGTAATGGACAAGGTCCACTCTCAGTATGCTTCACAAACTGGACATGCTTTTTGGTAGTTGTACCGCATTGCTGTTGAGACTGCTCCTTCTGAGACAACCTCGAGCTGATTCTACGTTCTTGCAAAGTCGGCTGGCGTTTGCACGGGCCTTGTTGATCTCTCAAACTTTGATGAACCTCCACCTGTTCGCGCAGGCTTCTTTTACGCTGTTCTTCGTAATCACCGTGCTCGCAATGCTGCTTCACGCAAACTTGTTCGACCACTTGACGAATTTCTTTCTTACAAGGTGGTTTATCCTGTTCCAATTGGACCGGTATAATACGCTCTCGAGAAGGCGCTCGAATGGTAACCTCAACAGCCCGATCGCTTGCGCAAGAACATGGTCGCTCTTCTACTTTTATGTCAATGATTCTTTCTTTGGTGCTTCTTCCGGCTTCCTCTTTTTCCATGCGACGCTGCTCTTCGACTCTTCTCTGACGTTCAGCCTCTTCTTTTTGTCTGCGTTGTTCCTCGTCTCTTCTGCGCAATTCAGCCATTTGTCGTTCTTCCTCTTGTCTTCTTCTCTCTGCTTCTTCTCGCTGCCTTCTATCTTCTTCTGCCTTGCGCTGCCTGGCTTCTTCATCTTGTCTACGCGTTTCTTCGATCATTTGCTGAGTATCAATTTTTTGGGACAGTGATTCAGTATAATTTCTTCTGCACGAAATATCTTCGACTTCTCGATCGACGGTCGAGGATCTGGTTGCTTGAGCCGCTTGTCCAAAAGGGTTACCAAGAGCGGCATCGGGAGAAACGAGTTCGATGGTTTTTTCGTAAGTAGTTGTTTTCTTGATATGAATGTTATCTTTATCTTCCTCTTCGACTTCGGTATACAGATCGTGCTCGGCATCGATACCTTTAGGGCAGATGGCCACATCGGGCGGAACAATTTTCGAATAGTCGGGCCCCTCGTCTCGTGGCTCGGGAGGAGGCAGGGGCTTGGGCGCGGGTTCCGGTTCAGCTTCGCAAGTAAACTTGCAAACCTTGGATGTTTTGTGCTCGTGACGATGGACGCCGTCCTCTTGCTTGCACGTATCCTCTTCGCGATGCACGTGTCGTTCTTGATGCTTGTGGCCGGCAGGCGCGGGTCGTTCGCAAGATGATTCGCGAGTAGTGACTTTTTGACAAACATTGCCATCGGATTGGCAGACCGACTGAGTCTCTTGAGAAAAGGACGACTCGTACAGATTAGTCCCCGATGTCACGGTTGCAGTCCATGGCCTAGGAGTGGGCTGAGTGATCCTCGTCGGAGTTAACGACCGTCTCACGCTCTCGCTCGAACCAGCTCGCGAGGATCTTTCCAAGCAACAGCTCGCTTGTGGAGGGGCCTTATTTACCAGAGAAACGCGTCGGTATTGTGGGCCTGGACAGCTGTGTTGTTCCATTTTACTTTCGCAATATTGTTGCTGTTGGTGATAATTTTTACTTATAACTTGCTCGACGGTAGCTCTTCTTTCGCGGTTCACCTCGCGAATGCGCTGATCAATCGAGGGATTTGGATCTATGTATATGGGGCTCGCGGTTGGATAAGTTATGTCTTCGATTGCCCTAACGGGCGGCCACTTGGGCGTTTTATTTTTGACTTTTGGTTGCTTCACCACCGCCTTAGGTCGACAACTTTCTTGTACGAATTCGTATTTCGAAAAGTCTTCTTGGAAAAATTGAATGTTTGAACCAGATTGAGAATGTTCGTGGCACTCCACGTAATAGGTCTCTGTCTTGTCGCCGTACAGTAAAGTGTCGGGTTTAGGATTTTAGGTAAGTGGCACAGATTTTTGGATCGATACATATATGTTTGTATATTTTTTTCAAGGTAACAATTTGTTAGACAGCCATAGTGTCGGCAATGAAAAAGTATTATTGAGTAATAAGTGACATAAATTGCGTCAAAACAGAGGATAACAAAGCAATTATAGAGAGCAGTGGACAGTTAATACGAGTTAGAAAGAAAAAAAAGAGAAAATTCTAGGTAAGTATAAAAGCAAGTTAACAGGTGTTTTTTTTTAATTGCTATTAAAAAGTCGCTCGATTTGTTAAGAAAAATAGTTAATTAAAATACTTTATATCGTATTGATTGAGCGACGGTAAGCCAGGTTTTATTGGATAATTTTTCATTACGCATTAAGACATTTTAATCGACGGGTTGATTGTTGTAAGTATTACTAGCTTAATTTCAACAGCCTAATATATAACTATATTATTAATCTATTAATAAAATGGATTTTTCAATCAATTAAGTGAATTTTGCATATTGATAAACATTTTTATATAAAATGTTTTACAGATGCCATGAAATTATGACGAAAAATTACAATTTATTCAAACGTTTATTTGATCGAAATAGCCATTTTATTCGAAACGCCTCTTTAATATTACTATATTTTATCATTCTATGGATAACTAAGTAGTTTATAAAATATAAAATTAAAATTGTTCATGTTAAATCGGGTCAGTCTTTCTGCAAAAGCTCGACTCCTAAGCCGGAAGATGGAATGAAAAAGCGCTAAAGAATTCACACGTAATGAAGCAGTATAAGCAATTTTTGATTGTATGGATAAATTTAACGACTTATCATTTTTTTTTTAAATGATGTAATTTTATTTTTGTGAAAATCACAATATCAACGGCCGAAAAAAACATTATTGTAATAGCTTCATCAAAGTGTAACATAATAATCGATACGTAAAACTGATCGAATGAAAGCACAACTTGATCGAAAAAAATTCGCGTATCTGGTGCAGTTGAGAGCTGCCATGCTCACGAAATTAAGGAGAATGGTCGGGGTTTCGAGTTGAATGACGTAGATGCTGAAAAGAAAAAAAACCAAGACAGGGAGATCAACATAAATGATGATAGTATGAATCTAAGCTATTTACAATTATATATCTCCGAAACTCAAGGTGCTTTGGTAGTTCCGTCGATTGGTTAAGTTATATTACGGCGTGCGGAATTAATAATGTCAATTTATGCAGAGAAAATTAATAAATATGAGTATTACTAGTTACAAAAGTAAAAGTTTTTTGTTGCCTTTTGCTTCTAGAATCAGTTATAAGTTTTACAAGTCAGATATAAAAAAATACATGTAGTAACTTTTCATGCTGCATTCGTAAAGTGTATAATTATAATCGTCATTGTTATTGTAGAAAATAACGAATATATAAGAATTGAAAGTTAAAGATAACGAATACATTTGAGAATGAAAAGGGGTGTCCTGTTTACTGTCGCGGCTGGCAGCTCTCAGGGCACCAATCGTGACACGACACCGAAAATTTAGAAAAAAAAATGTTAAATCACCGTAAGAATCTACTTTTTTTCCAATCCAATAATTCTCGGTAAAATTTCATTTCAATCATTATTATTCTAACTGGACATTTTTGAGGCTGCAAAGCTTTCGTTTCATTTTTTGAGTGAGTCGAGTAAAATATTAAAGACGAATTCATTATATTTAAAGTAAGAGCGATCATTAAGCGATGCGCGAATCAAAGCCTCGGCGTACCTTTGAATAGTGGGCTTGTCGGCTTTGGCAGAGTAGAGGAACGACCTATATTTGCAAGAATTGAATTCAAGGTTATAAATCTGTTTTTTCATCTATTTGAGGCTTATATGTCAATTTAATCGGTTACTATAGCTTTATGAATGATGAACGTATCATTTAGTTTTAATTAACTGTGGCTAATCAGATAAATTATATGGTCTTAATTTAATAAAACCATCGGCAAAAGTTTATCATGCCTTTGTAGACATGAGCGCTAAGAGCATAAAAATAGTCACTGAGAAAAACTAGCCCTTGAATTTTTTCATCGAACTGATTGCATAAATAAATATTATGCAGTTACCGAAAATAATGATTGATTTATGTATAATCATTGAACATATATTTACAATTAGCAATTTGTGATATATAATTATTGCAATCATTAATAATTATATGAATCAAAGAACTATATTTCCAAATGATTATTTTTCTTATAAATACAACTATTTTAAGCTAGTATCTACGCAATAAATCAACGCTATGTTCTATTTTTACAACCCACATAATATATTAACTTGATAAAGTAATAAATTAATGCTACTTAATTTTTTTAGAATTAATACAAAAACAATTTGGAAAACTCACCAGCTAGGGATTGACTTTGAGGCCGAGGTAGAGTGCTTCCTGTATTAATAATCGATGAGGAGGAGTAATTTTGGTTGATGATACTCGATCCAATGAAGGGCTTAGGTCCAGAGATGTTGCTCGATGGTGCCTGCAAGATATATTTCACACAATTCACTTTTAAGTATCTCACTTGAATTAGAAATTAATTTTACACTTTTTCATTGATATTTGCATAAATAAAAGAATCTGATGAAGTGACTAAAAATTTCTAGAAATTTTTCAAAAGATTGGAAATAGGTAGCACATTGCACAGCTGAAGTAATGAGATTAATTTTATTACAATACATCACAACAATAATTGATTAGAAAACTTGCACGCAGACTTATCAACTGTTCCACTCAATGAACGATGAAAAATAAATATTTTGTGATTTGGAGCAATTAAAAATAATAAAGCACGAGAATAATTACAATTAAAAATTCGATTTTAAAAGCTGTGCTTGGCGAGTTCAAAGATTCGTTCGATTCATAGGGAATCGTCAAAAAAGTCTATGTTACGATTAGCTTTTTGACGATCGATTCGTGGTTGGTGCTCGGACACGAGTGAGTCAGTGCAGCATTAGCTTTACTGGCCGAAAATTGTACTGACAATCGAAGGGCGAATTGCCAAGACACGTCAGCTGAAAAAAAATAATCATGAAGCACGAGAAAAAGGCGGGGTAGGGAAGGGATACTACGTTGAGTTCACGTGATAATTTACAATGTGGCGCGATGATTATTGAGACATTGCACGCGATGGTATGCGCAGCGGCTATGCAGTCAACGGCGAAGAATACAAAGAAGGAAGTAGCGCCGCAACGAGCTTCGCAATTAGGAAGTTTGTCGATCGAGTCGGCCCTTGAGCGAGGGACTGAAATAATTCGAATCTCGCTGATATGGTAATGAGATGTCGTTGAGCAATTTTTCTGATTAAGCTCGTGCATTGATTTCCTGACTGATATTGTTATTGCGTATTCCATACTAAACTGATGCCTTAAAATTTCACCCTAGACTGCATGCGAAACTTGTTTTTCGGAGGCTGCAAAAAGCTCGAATTTGTAATATTTAAAAGACCACATTTTGCCAAAGTTAAGAGTCAAGTATAATTTAAGAAACAAAAATGTCCATCATGTCGATGACGGGTCTGCGTCCACGACTTAATTCGATCAAATAATCACCTTGAAAGACCGCACGGAAGTTTGAACTTTTTCCGAGCTATAATTTCGTTCCTCGAACAAGCTCTTGTTTTTGAGCGGTTTGTCCTGGTGCTCTACATGACCATTGTTGATTGTGCAATCGCGTAGATCATCGCTGATCTTATGCAACTTTTTGTAATCGATTCCGTCGAAATTATCGTTATTTATCGTTGAATTTCGATTGTAATCTAAGCCTGGCTCCTGCTGCTTGTCGTTCATCTGCTGCTGCTGATGATGATTATTCGAGACATTGTTGGTGTCGTTGGTGATCGTTTTGAAGCTTATCGTACTCGTATACATTTTGGAGTCGTTGCTGTTTGAAATCGACTGTTGGTGGTGGTGTTGCTGCTGCTGCTTGTCTTGCTCGTCGAGACTCTCCTGCGAAGTTGATGTGGTGGTCGTCGTAGTCGCGGTGTGAAGCGCCGGCGATGCGTAAGCCGTGAAGGCGCTATTACCGTAGGGCCTCGCCGAATTGCCGTTGACGTGGCCATTGCTGCAGGGACGTGACTTGGGCGGACTGTATGCTCGCGGACAGGAGTTCTGCAATAAGCGTTTAGTAGCACACACGGGATGGCGCGTGGCATATTTTACTCGTGTTAATAAGGTTTAATTATTTCGCGCTTTTATGCTTGTGATAAATGTTATGAAATATTAATAATAATGATATTTTAAGATGCTCTAATTAAACATAATTTTCAATGAGAAGCCGTCGTTATAACCAAGCATGCGATGTCGTTTTGATGAATTGATTAAAATATTTACTTTAGGTTTCAGTTATTTCACTAATGATCAAAAGTTAAGCTGATTTTATAGGATTCTATTGAGTATTTTTAGGATAAAAGTCAAGTTGTCATCGTTATAAATGTAAACTAAATAATATATGAATTGAGACTTGTGGAAACAATAAAAGCTTTTTTTGTTACCATTTTCAGACTCTCCAATTGCCAAACGCTAGATCTACTCAATCTAATATTATCCCTAAACAAATGATTCAATAACGAAGGTCAAGCTTACCACAAATGGTTGTGGCGAGGAACTTCCGTGATTGCTCAATGAGGGCGACAAATTACCATGGCTTGACAAGGCAGAAGAAATGGTGTTTGCCGGTGCTTTGTGTCCCCTGCAACGAAAGTGAAATAATGTATCGTTAAATAATTGTTTTAATATTTCTATTTTGTTGCACTTACGGAGCAATAGTGATTGGGATGATGTTGGTCGCAGGTGCGCTCTGCCTGGCTACTAGTTTAGCGTGGATGTCGCAATAAAGTTTGTTGTTGATGTTGTAGTAACCGACATTCTTCAATGAGGTTCCGCAGGTCGCGCATTTGAAGCACTCGACGTGCAGACTTTTTTCCTTTATCCGCACGAAAACGCCGCTAAACATTTAATATGGATGAATAATGCATGATTTTTTTCGATGACGAGGAATTATTTGAGATCTTATGACGAATCAATTAAGCGAGAGAAGAAGTAATTTCGAATCTCTTTTGTGAATTTTGTCAAGACAGCACATTCGCGTCTAATTTATTTTCATCCCAAAAAAAGATAAAAATTTGCTTCGATGATATAATATCAACCGATTATATTATATATCTACAGCTCCTTGAGGACAAAAAAAAAAAAAAAGAAAGGACGATTCGAAATCACTCATAATTTAAAGCAGTGAGCAACGCTTTACCTAGCCATAAAGTAACATGAATCTATGGCATATTCGCTCGCAACTTATCGTCGCATAATATCAAAAAAGCTAAGAAGAAAAAAATCCATCCAAATAGTAAAAATAAAAAAGTTCTATAGGTAGTCTCTTGATCTTCGTTGGAATGCAAGAAAGGAAGTGAACGGGCACGTGCGTGGGGTAAAGAATATAAAACGCGCTGTCAAAAATTCCAAACGTTTCAAATTTACATTCCAAAAGCAGATGGCGAAGGTGTAATCGAAATGCCGTAATGCGCATACAAAAGGTTCTCTCGACGACATGTTTTGGGCACTTATTGTCGTGTTTGCGCGGTCTATATGGCACGTACGAAGATATAAATTCAAATCAAAATCCATCGCATGACTAATAAATTTAAAAAAAGTACATGCGGCAACGCTGAGGTAAAAAGCAGGATGAATCAATCTGTGTCTCAACAAGTTATTTTAAGACACCTCTGCGTTCAATTGTCCACAATGAAATTGAATCAGAGATCACGTCTTACGATGTTTTGGTGCAAAAAGCATCAACGATACGATTTGGCGTGAAGAAAGTTTGTGCTCATCAAAGTTGTAGCAACTTTGTTGAGTGATGATAAGTCATGCTATTAGACACAACTTTTTCTGTCTAAATTTGCTTACTAAATGCCTTTCACAGTATTGAATCGAACTAAATGATTGCTCTTTTTATGAACGAAAAAAGAAAAAGGATTCAAAAAGGTCCAGTTTATGAATCATGTGTACATGCATGACATTCATGAATATAACAATTTATGCAGTCTACAATGATAAAAGTCTAAAAGATACATGAAAATTCAACAGATTCAGAGTAACGATCTGTAATTAATGGCCGTGACAATCTTCAATAAAAATATTTTTTTTTACTTTTATAATCTACTTTTTAAATTTATTCTTCGATATATTTTGAATATATACTTAGAGTATGGTTTTTTTATTTTATTTCACATCAAAATTCAAAAACCAAAATTCGACAAAATAAAATTTAATCCTGTACGAAAAATTTTTATAAATATAAAATTCAGTGAAATAAGCGTGAGCGACGTGTAAAAAAATTAAATTAGTCTGCAACATTTGCTAAACAAAAGCATTCAAATTTTGTGTATAAAGTCAAATTATAGACTAAACATCAAAACTAAATATAATTAATAGGTTTGCTGCAAATAATAAAAGTATACGCACTAAACATCGGTACAGCTGGCTAAGAAAGTAACGACAATAAAAGTAAAGAGTACAGAAAAGAGAAAGAGAAGAGAGGAGGTGTGGCAGCCGAGAGCATCGCAATGCGCAGCGGAAAAAATAAACAGTATATTTAATAAGCTTGCTAAAACTGCAGCTATGATCAATCGCTAAAGAGAGCAATTTACACGATGGGCTGGTCGCAGTTGGAACAAATGACGAGGCCCTCGCGGGGATCGTTTCTGCCAGAAGGTCGATTCGCAGGGAATGGGGGCTGTTGCTGATGCTGCTGGGGTGTCGTTGGCGAACGGCCGCCCACGGCATGGCTCACTTGAGAGTAATACTCCGTCCGCGATGACACTAAATTTATCAACAAATGGACAAGAAATTTCCATCTTTTATTCCATTGAATATCAACAATTATTAAATTTATACCATTGAAGCTATATTTTGGATGGAATAATGAATCGATGGATCGTATAATTGACACGTATAATGTGTTCGAAGCTGGAGGACTTGATTAATAACATATTTGGTGAATGGAAAAAAATTGATAAAAAGCCTAAAATTTTTGAACTAACTCGATGAGCGAGGCTCTATGTTGCTCAGCTACTTTGGCTCTCGTCTTGACCGCTGCAAGTTAGAAAGAAAACTTACACGATGAGCCTTTCGCACTCGGCACAAATATTTTGTCCGGGTGAAAGACTAGTCGCGGGGGATTCCGATTGCTGATGCTGATTCTGCTGTTGCTGCTGTTGCTGCTGCTGCTGCTGCTGATTTTGATGCTGATGCTCCTGATGTTGGTAGTTTTGGTACTGATCCTGCACTCTGTAAGCTTGGGTACCCTGGACCGGGCGTAAACCAGCCAGAGCCGGAGACGTCGTGCCACTGATCGGCGATACCTCGGCTATTTGTTTTTATGGCAGGTATTTTTTTTTGGTTATGATGATCATGTTTTTATGATAATGATAGAGTTTAACTTGGATTAACAGTTCGAAAGTTATTTTTGATACGAAGAGAATTTAATGATCTAAACCAGGTTTAATGCACTGTATAACAATTTTTACTGTGGTGTATGGAATAATTAATTATAAACCATTGAAATAAAAATATGCTTCATCTTTATATTGCATTATAAGTATGGCACGCTTCTGTTGTATCCGTCATTCAGTTAAATAATATTCAATAATGCAGGTATAAGAGATTACTTGGCAAAAAATCATGACTTTTACTAGATTTAAGTTGCAAAATCTTGAAAATCTTGGAAAATTTGTTGATTCGTTCTATCAGTGTGTTAAACCCAAATAAAAGCAAAAGAAATTTGTGATGTGTCAAAATCATTAGTCGTGTAAATACGTAAGTATACACGAAAATGTTTTTTGTATTAAAACACCGACGAGGAGACAGATTAAATAAGACTCTTGAAGATGTGGTGGTAGATTCTGATCGCTACAACTAACCTGGTTCTGGTGTGCGTGGCTCTTTATCCGCCTCTTGGACCATTTTGAAAACTTCGCTGTTTTGAGGAGTGTAGTTTTTCTCATTTTTCTTGAAATTTACCCTGCAAGTGAAAGTTGACAATTTTCAAGTCCTAATCTTTATGCGCATTCGAGATATGGTATTTGGAACTCACCCCAAAGCTCCTCCAGCGAGCACTTCAGCCTGAGCAGAGAGAGTTTCGGCGATTGCTTCTTCACTGTAGATGCCAACAGGACTATTGTACTGTTTATTGACGATCGATTTGACTTGGTGATTGTCGGTCCCGGCTCCGTTGAGCTACAGAAAATAATATACGATAGAATCGATGACAATTAAGTAGTCAATTACATTACATTGTATCAGTCAAGATAATATCATTATTTACATAAAAAGGTCGAACTTACGAAAGGTTTGGGGCTGAAATTGTGTCCGCTGCCAATGGGACGAGACTCGGGCTGCTTGTGAGCCAGCGAAGTTTTCGTAACGGGTGAAACGCTGCTGGCCGACAGAGATGGCTGTGGCGATGGGATCGACGCGGTGACCGGTGATACGCTTGGCCTCCACGTTTGAGCGCCTCTGTTGGACCATTCGTGTGATTAATTTGTATGACGGAAGAAAATTGACAATTGACAAGTTGACGTAAGAGTCAACTATAGTAAAGTTGTGAATCGTACCTTTGCACGGTCATCTCGAAATTATTGCCGGCGCGCACAATCACATCCTGAGCGTCCTTGTGTCTCAAGCTGAACATGTCGGTGCTATTGACACGAACGACGGCGTCTCCCGCCCGCAGACCCGCTGCTTCGGCTGGTGATCCATTGTTCACCTGAAATTGTCAATAGAAAACTTTGTGAGCCAACGGTAAAGAGCAATAATTGCTAAAACTAATAAATTTTTCACGCAGAACGAGGCGTTTGTTATTAAAACACTGTAAAATGTCGCGTAGAAAATAGGCCGAATGAATAAGTTGATAAAAGTCAAAACACGACAATAAAAGTAATTAGTAGCCGGCCGTCTCGGTGTACGATGTAAAATAGTGCAATAGCTGCGGACTTGTAATAGCCGTCGCAGACTTTAGTTCACACGGCACAATGCGCGCGTACACACGGAAAAGTCTACGAGCGAGCGAGAAAGAAAAAGGCACTTGAAATATATGTGCAGCGCGGTCAGTAATAGCGGCTAAGTATGTGTTGCGGATGTACGCGAGGGCCGAGGCAGAATTTATCGAGTAGAGCTCGATTCGCGTAAAATCGCGTCGTCGTTCCGACCACCGCCACGCGGTGCAGGCGAGCTCGTTCGTTACGTCGTTGCTCGCGCGTCAGCTGTTTGTAGGCGATATTTTAAGGGACGATTATTTCATCGGTCCATGCGCTAACGAGGCCCCGATGTCGGCTACGCATTCGCGTTATTGTATCAGTAAGTCTATTTTTACCGATCGGCGGCTCGCTTCTCGGCATCGGCGCAGCTGCACTAGCCGATCACGCGGCTCGAGCTCATTTCCGAATTGCAAGAGTCGCACGTTCCAGCCGGCCGGAGTTTGTTCGATCGATAGGCAGAAGCTCGGAGCGTTTGACATGCACATCGAGTCACACGCGCGAAACCGCAATCGAGCCCTGGGATCGCTGCGAAAGCCACCCAGGCGGCGTTCGACTCACCTCGCGCGCTTTATTTCCATCGACTTTAGGGGGGAGAAAAAAAAGGTCCATGCGGCGAGCCCGCCCGCAAAGCAGCCGCTGTAACGCGGCCGATCGTAATGCGCGCGCTCGTAATCTATTATTCTTGGAAAAGCGATGAGCTTGAACACACAAAACAATGAGTGCGACTACTGTGGCGTATCGAGCCTGCGTTTACAAGCGAACGTCGCGGTGCAGTCGCCGAGCCGAAAGCACAACCAGTGCGAGCCTATAGACGCTTCAAGTCCTTTTTCGTTCGAGTTATAAAAGATGGAAGTATAAAGGCGCGATGTCAGTGGACCAGTCAAAGTCGCTCGCGCCTACACCGAGGTACGCTTCAACGGCAGCGGATGCTCCCGTGTGTTGGAAAACGGGCGCGGTCTCTCGATACGCTAAAAATATACATATCGCGCGCGACTCTGTGGATACATGCCCATAATAGATGGCAGCCGCCCGTTCGTATACCTTCCGAGTCGGCAAAGTTCGCTTCGATTCCATTCGATGTCTTAAAAAAAATCCCGCCTGCTAGCGATCCAGCTAGAAACGCGAGATGACGTTGGATGTATAAAGTATAATATACGATGTGCAGGCAAATTAAGCGATAAATCAGTCATTGCGAAATCGTATACATACGATAGCTCCATTTTTTCTTTGAGCTTAGCCGACGCCGAGCACGTATAAATAGAAAAGTGAATTTTCCAACGCTCGCGCGTGCTAACGTAATAAATCAATGCGTATCTCGCTCGCAAGCGGATTGCGAAAATCGATGAAAAATACGCCTTTACAAATTTCTACAATGTACGTAGATATAACGAAAAAACGAGTCGAACGCAATGCTGTTTCGGTAGCGCACGATCGAGGACTTGGCTTACATCGATCAGGCGCGCATAGGTATATACGCATCAAAAGTTTATGAAAATAATAAAGCGGCGCGTTTAGTCACGCGATGATTAAGTATCGCAGCGTATTTGGCATGACTCGAGTTTATGCGCGTGCGAGATAATTCCCGTCTAATATGTGTATGAATACGTATGAAGGCAATTCGCGGCTAGTTCATTCATAAATTCGCCAGCTGGCCAAACTGGCATCTAGCCCCGGCCGTACGATAAATTCGCTCGAATTATGTCTTGCGGCATAAGGATACACGTAATATACCAATTTGATTCGCCTGGCTGTATACAACTGCTGGTCCAGTTAGTAGTTTGCAAGTTTATTAGGCTATCGTAGAAATGAGTTGTCTGCAGCTTATTGCACGATGCGGCCAAAGCAGCACCGTTAGCCGCGCGTCTCGACAATCGTTGGCTCATTTATTTTGTACTGTATAATTGCATAAACGTCGGCGGCTCGCAAGCTCCGTTCGCGAAAGCTCGCATCGGTCGTCAAGGAGCACGAGGAGCACCAGCTGGCGGTACGCATGTGCGCAGTTTTTGAATTTTGATAGAGCTCGGGCGCGTTACCAAGGGCCATTCGTCGTTTATATATAGCCGCAGGCGCAGCATACTTATTGGCTCGACGAGCAGCCAGTGTGCGTCGCGCCTATATATTGTGTCTCGATATATTTTCATCCAAACGCCGGAAGTGCGCGCCTAGAGCTCATCATCGTTTGTCTCGCGAGGCAAAAATGGCCAAAAGCCATCGAGCTTTTCAACTAAACGCGGCTAAATATACACTATCATGTACCGTATATTACTTTGTAATAGATTCAGAAAGCACGAGGATTTTTCTCGTGTGTGTATAAGGTAAGAAGCATCGACGCCTTCCGGTGCGTAACTCGGCGGCAGAAGTATATCAGTCGAGCATCGACAAACGATGAGACGAGGGGAGCCGAGCTCAATGACTGGAACACTGCTTGAAGTTCGACTCTTTTCAAAAGACAAGTGATGTTATTATATTTGTATACAGACCCTAGAGACTTGTGTCAGTGTACTCGGGGCTATCTTTAACTCGCTCCACGTGCGTATTTACATACAGAGACGCATAGACACTCGTTGTCGACGTGTATAGTATATCATTAAGATTCTTAGGATAGACGCTGCGGTAGATGCGGCAATTGAGCGGCCATTGAGCGGCACCTGCAGCGCGCGTCAACCTCTTGACTCGGCTCGCGTCCGCAAATGGAGCGAGATAATCCTTCCTTTTGAAGTCTCGATCGAAAGCCTCTCGAGTAATGCAATAGCTGCCGCCTCGAGAGCTCACAGTCATCGCGAGCTGCGTAACACGAGCGGCTCGCGATTTCACCAAAACTTATATCTGCCCGAGCGCGTATCATTATACTATAATGCGTAAATAAAGTCGATTATTCACGTTCGCGTGCTCTCAAAGTCGTTGAACAAACTGGCCCTCGTTGGAGGTCATCGCGCAACCTGACTTAATTAGCTATACGCAGAGGAATTCGCGCGTACCTACACAGAAAGTAGTATAGGCTCGAATATTCGAGTCGTCGAGACAAGGAGTATGCGACGCAAGTACGTTGGCGTGGACCGAGCGGCGCGTGTGCTGCGCTGCTCGACTCTCGACTCTCGACTCTCGAGTCAGGGTTAAAGCTGTCCGCGAAAGCGTCGCACGCGCACGCATACACACTGAAAATGCTCGTCGCTTACGAACGTACAAGCATGTGACGCGTGCGTGCGGCTAAAAATAAGCCCTTTGCGGCCTACAAATAGCCAAGTCCAGTCTTTATCCGACGATATGATCGTTCACGTGTATATATATAAACACACTGGCATACCTGTGGGGCGCAATGAACGTGCTCCGCAAAGTCGTTGGACTACGCGCCGCAGCTTCGTTTTTTTCCTCTCGCGCGTCTCCGCTCGATTCGACGCAAAGCTCGCGTCCTAAGCAGCTCGTCTGCTGTGCGCGCGACATGATAAACCTTTGTGGACTTGATAAAGATCGCTTTGAGTATTTTTCCCCATCGAGCGCGCGTACCGCGACAACGCGCCAGGCCATTATTTTCAATTTTACGCGCCTCTTTAACGGACGTGCCTGCAAAGACATACACCAATGATTTTTCTTATGCTAATTTGTAAATGACCGTGAGTATACTTTCATGCCGAATCGCTTGAATCGACCGTCTACTGAACATTCGATGATTCTGATAACACTTTTTACCATACTAAACACAATCGTGAGCCACACAACGCATACATGAAAGGTAAAAAACTGGCATTGCTGCAATCGTTCAATTTTGCTTCACGCACAAAATTAACGAAATCAAAACAGCGTTACGCACTTTTCGTATTTGCATTATTCACAGCTGATTTCACGCCCGTCTCTCGGAGGCCACCGTTTGAGCTATCGCGCAAGGCTATATAGACGAGAAGGTCGGAGAAATAACTTTTTCTGTTCGTTCAAAGTTTTCATGACAATGAGCTTTTTGAAGTCCGGACCTTTTCACTCGAGGCAGTCACAACTCTATGCTTCAGCTAATACTTGTAAACAACTCTGACTTTACTGCAGCTCGTACATTTTTTTCATCCCCGAATCTCAACTAGGTACGTGCGGGCAAAGTCAAGTCGTAAGTTGGCCTTGAAAACTCATTGGTATAATTTCGTGAAATCACCATGTTGAAATAAAGTATCATTGAGAATGATCATAAAAGAAAAAAATTACCATTCTGAAATGCGCGTCGGAAAATGAGTATTATTGAAGTACGACTACGGAAGAAAATACATAGAAAATCAATTCGTGAACAAATTCTTACTTTTCTATCTCGTTATGCAAAACAGCAAACTTCGAAAGCAACCTATTATAGTGAATCATCTGAATGTAATCTAAGAAGATCGATTTGACATTCAATCAAAGTTGAGTTAAACAGGCGTGGATTAAATTTTCAACTACATTTTTTTGTTTTGATGGGACATATGTAGGACAAAAATAAGTATGCTAGTAAAGTTTTTCAGAAAAAAATATATATAGTGGATTTTCGACTCGAAAAGTCTTGAGCACGTGCTTATTAAAGACGCGCGCGGTGGTCTACGATTAGCAAAAAAAAAGTAAGAAATCGGTGTAGCGAAATTTATGTTTCAGCCAGGCGTATATATTAAAATGCATTATTGAAAGTCTAGAGTTGAGGATCAGATTTACGAGACAGAGCGAATATATGCCTCGTCTCGGCGATATGCGGGCACGGGTTGATGTGCTGCTTCTCTCT